TGGATTTTTTAAAGAACATTTTTTCAAGGCTTATCCAAGGCGTGGATTTTTTAAAGAACATTTTTTCAAGGCTTATCCAAGGCGTGGATTTTTTAAAGAACATTTTTTCAAGGCTTATCCAAGGCGTGGATTTTTTAAAGAACATTTTTTCAAGGCTTATCCAAGGCGTGGATTTTTTAAAGAACATTTTTTCAAGGCTTATCCAAGGCGTGGATTTTTTAAAGAACATTTTTTCAAGGCTTATCCAAGGCGTGGATTTTTTAAAGAACATTTTTTCAAGGCTTATCCATGGCGTGGATTTTTTAAAGAACATTTTTTCAAGGCTTATCCAAGGCGTGGATTTTTTAAAGAACATTTTTTCAAGGCTTATCCAAGGCGTGGATTTTTTAAAGAACATTTTTTCAAGGCTTATCCAAGGCGTGGATTTTTTAAAGAACATTTTTTCAAGGCTTATCCAAGGCGTGGATTTTTTAAAGATTATTTTTTTCAAGGCTTATCCAAGGCGTGGATTTTTTAAAGATTATTTTTTTCAAGGCTTATCCAAGGCGTGGATTTTTTAAAGATTATTTTTTTCAAGGCTTATCCAAGGCGTGGATTTTTTAAAGATTATTTTTTCAAAGCTTATCCAAGGCGTGGATTTTTTAAAGAACATTTTTTCATCCACATAGAAAAACTGAAGGTCTTTTTTTAGAAGAATATTTTTTCATCCACATAGAAAAGCTGGAGATCTTTTTCATCCACATAGAAAAACTGAAGGTCTTCTCCTTCCTCATAGAAGAGCTTGAGATCTTTTTCATCCACATAGAAAAGCTGGAGATCTTTTTCATCCACATAGAAAAGCCGGCGAACTTTTTCATCCACATAGAAAAACTGAAGGTCTTCTTCCTTATAGAAGAGCTGGAGATCTTTTTCATCCACATAGAAAAACTGAAGGTCTTCTTCCTTATAGAAGAGCTGGAGATCTTTTTCATCCACATAGAAAAACATGAAGGTCTTCTTCTTCCTAATAGAAGAGGTCTTCTTCCTCACAGAAAGTGCAGAAATCGTCTTCCTCTTAGGAGAGCTGAAGGTCTTCTTCATCGAAGGGCAAAAAGTCGTCTTCCTCACAGAAGTTCTGAAGGTTTTTTGCTTCATAGAAGAGCTTTGTCTACCCCATAGAAGAGATGGAGATCTTATTATTTCTTATAAAATAACTGGAGCTCTTCATCATAGATGAGTTGAAGGTGTTATTCATTGAAGGTAAACTTCTTCCTCATAGCAGAGTTAAAGATGTGTCATAAAATATCTGAAAGTCTCCTTCCTCATAGAAGAGCTGAAGGTCGTTATATTTCTCTCAGAAGAGTATTTTTCTACATTTTTAAATTTTTTATTCCCCAATAGAAGAACAAGACATATGGTCTTCTTGCTTCATCCGTAAACAACATACCCCGCACTCCCTCCCTGTTGTTTTGCACACAAAAAAATATCTCTGTTTGTAAATTCACTAAATTATAGACCTCCTTGCACGGATGGCATACCATTAGACCCATATCACTACCCAACACCAACATTATCGAAATTGTAGTGAAATGAGCGTACGCATACATACATCATCAAATATGTAGATACATTGGAGCCACCACCACCACCAGAAGATGGTACAAACAATTTTAAAGCAATGGTATTTTGTCAAAAAGAAAATGTTCTTGTTTTTGTAACGATTTTATCTCCTGTTGTTATTGCTGCCATATAGGATACAATGATGGAAACATATGATGTTTATTAACGACGAACCACCAGCAGCAACAATAATAAAAAACATTACAAAAATGTTATGGGGAATTTGCAAAAAAAAAAAAGGAAAACAAATGTGCTATGTCGCACTTAAGGCCACAATTTGAATTCATAATTTTCTCTGAGAGCAAATATGTGTACGTGTACTTATTACGACATTTATAAGCCTCAAAGTATGTTCAAATCGGAAAATATTTTTATTCTTCAACCCTTACTTTAGGTAAGCAAAGAATACAACTCTTAAAATTCAATATCACAAATCTAATTTCAATACTAAATGATTTCCGATCCTTTTCCAATATTTATTCAAAGTTCCTAAATATTGATAAAGTGTAAACAAATAAACACAATTCAATATCTTTCATCGGAACTCTATTAACCCAGAGCAGCCAAAATAACTCATGCACACCCACACCTCACCTAGCCTTTATTAAAATTTTGCAAAAATATTTCGCACAAAAAATCCGCTTTACAGAAACTATTAGCTGAAAGTGCAACCGCACAATTCGTGCGGCTAGTCATACACTTCGAAGAGCTAGTGTAAAATCGATACAAAAAAATTGGTTTAACAAAACTCAAGGCCAAAGGCAGCTGTGCTCTGATCGGTCTAAAGGCTGTTTTGGTGGTATTTGCTATTTGGTGTTTCCATTGAAGAGTTATTGTGGCTGCCAACACAAGCGTTACAATGCATGACCCCAACCTTCTCGTCTTCCCCCTCTCAGCCATTCACCACAACGAACATTTGATGTGTAAATATGAGTGTTAGTGGTATACACGCCATGGGCCAACCACAAGCTGTATATAGAAACAAAAAAACTAAACAAATTCTAGTATGCCTAAAATATTTCGGGTGTTCGAACGATAGGGGTAATAATTTAGCCGTCAAAACCATTTCAACGAAACCGAAACAAACTGAACCCGTATCATAAATGTTTATGCGAACATGAAATCCTTAATAAATATTTGCGATTCCAAAAAAAATTAATTACAAGACTATGGTAGGTGTATGGAGGTATGTTATGGCAATGAATAGCGGTTTATGGGTTTCTTTATAGTTATAATTTGAAAACGATAAGAAGAAAATGTTCTGCCAAAAAGGAAAGCTGAAGGTATTGTTCTTAGAAGAGCTCAAAACGGTTTTTCTTCCTCATAGAAGAGCTGAAGTTCTTCTTCCTCATAGGAGAACTGAAGGTCCTCATAGAAGAGTTGAAGGACTTATTCCTCATAAAAGTACTAAAAGTCTTCATCCTCATGGAAGAACTGAATACCTTCAGACACACAAACATTTGAACATTAAAAAGAAAAAAATCTGCCAAGAAGGTTCTATTTTATAGAAAAGATGAAGGTATTCTTCATAGAAGAGCTCACGACCTTTTTCTCTTACATAGAAAAGCTGAAGGTCTTCTTCTTCATTTTGAAAGAATAACTGAAGGTATATTTCCTAATAGAAGAGCTGAAAGGCTTCTTCCTGATAGAAGAACTGAAGGTCTATTTCCTAATGGAAGAGCTGAATGTCTTCTTTTCATAGAAGGTCTTTCTTATAGAAGTGCAGAAATGTTTTCCTTATAGAAGAGCTGAAGATCTTCCTCCTCATAGAAGGGCTGAAAGTCTTCCTCCTCATAGAGGGGCTGAAAGTCTTCATTCTCATAGATGAGATAAAGTTGTTCTTCCTCATAGAAGAGCTGAAGGTCTATTTCCTCATAGAAGAGTTAAAAGTCTTCCTAATAGAAGATCTGAAGGTCTTCCTCATCATCATACAAGAGCTGAAGATGTCCTCTTTCCTCTTAAAAGTTTTCCGAGAAAAACTCCCCTCAGCAAGTCCATAAATACTTCCTTCAGCTCGCCTTATAAAAACTTCCCCAACTCCCCTGTAAAGATTCACTTCTCCTTGTCTAAAAGACTACCTACAATTCATCTCCAAAGACAGCCAGTCTATAGAAACTCCGTTTAATTCGTCTATAGAGACTTCCTTTAGCTGGTCTATAGATACTTCCTTCAGCTAGTCTGTAAAGAATCCCTTCACCTCCTCTATAACGACTCCTTTCAGCTCGTCTATACAGACTCTTATCATCTCATTAATAAATACTCCCTTTTGCTCGTAGATAAGACTCACTTCCCTAGTCTATAAACCACCCTTCAGCTATTCTATAAGCACTCACTTCAGCTAGTCTATAAGGACTTCCTTCAACACGTCGATAAGGACCCCCTTCAGCTCTATATAGGCTCCGATCAACCCAACAGTTCCTCTACAACGACTCCCTTTCTATAGCTCATCTATAAAGACTCCCTTTCTAGAGCTCGTCTAGAAAGTCTACCTTCAGCTCGTCTATAAAAAATCTCTTCATCTCGTTTAGAAAGACTCCTTTTAGCTCATCTCTAAAAACTCACTTATGCTGGTCTATAAATAATCCCTTCGTCACGTCTAGAAAGACTCCTTTCAGCTCATCTATAAAGACTCCCTTTCCAGAGCTCATCTAGAAAAGCTACCTTCAGCTCGTTTACAAATAATCTCTTCATATCGTTTAAAAAGACTCCTTTTAGCTCATCTACATCCCTTTCAAGAGCTCGTCTATAAAGGCTCCCTTTCAAGACCTTGTCTATAAAGGCTCACTTTCAAGAGCTCGTCTAGAAAGTCTACCTTCAGCTCGTCTATAAAAAATCTCTTCATCTCGTTTAGAAAAACTCCTTTTAGCTCATCTATAAAAACTCCCTTCAGCTCGTTTATAAAGAGTCCTTTCAGCTCATCTATACAGACTCCCTTTCAGAGCTCGTCTTGAAAGGCTACCTTCAGCTCGTCTACAAAGACATCCTTTTCTTTTATAAAGACATCTTTATCTCGTCTGTAAAGACTCCCTTCTGATCGAGTATAAAGATTACCTGCACTCATATAAATAAGTCTACCCAATAAATTCATTTAAAAAATATTTATTTAAGGTTATATCTAAACAACAGGAAACAGTAATATATGTTTAAGTACCCAATTACATACTTAACTATTGCAAAAATATTTTGATCTACAGAATATATGTTTTATATACTAGAAATCGACAGGGCAATCAAAAACGGACAACAGATTTCTTATGATGCTCTTTTTAGTATCCTGTCAAAATATATAATTTTCTGTTCGTTATTATCTTCTCAAGATAAATTTTCCAAATATGAGAGATCTCTCTATAAAGCTATTACAAGATTTTGTTTTAGAAAAATAATTTTCATAACAACAATATTCACTGTGTATTATCCGTCGTTTTCGGTATTCTCACCAATACCTCATATTGGGTATTAAACACTTCGGCATCACCAAATGGCATATAGGCCATTTTATATTGACGATGTAGCTTGCCATATAAAGTCTTTCCCTCGTGCACAGCACGTGCTATATACAATGGTTCACTATACGAAGTGTGTCCCGCTACCAAAGCATTTTCTGGTAGTTCACCCTCAGATGCTGCAACCCATTTATACTCAGCGTCGTTATCACAGCTTATATCCAATATTTCAATATTACTTGTTAGGAATTGTGATTTGAAACCCCATGCAGCATATACACCATTTTTACGAGGACAATAATAGGCAGGTATTAAATCATTGTTGTAGTAACCGCGTGCAGCATATATATCATTGCCATCTTCGTCGGTACCATAGTGTAGACCAAAACTTTTCACTATTTCTTCATCCATATCACGATCTATGGTTAGCCAATCATAACCGCTGAAGACATTGTTTTGCACAGGAGGAGGAGGTGGTTCCATTGTAACCGATTCATTCAGAGGTTGAAAATTTAGATATATTTTGCGACAACGATGTCGCAAACAAGGATCACGACACTGGGGGCAGGTCGTCGAAACCCTTAACCAATGAAATAGACATTGCTGATGAAATACATGTCCACAGCGGGTCACATAAATATTATCACGAGCTGTATAGAATTCACTGCATATACCGCAGAGGATATTTAGGGTTGAGGCCATTTCTGTTTATGGCCTTGGGAATTCTGAAATTAGAGTTGTGTTGAAATTAGTCATTGCGATTTGAAAATAAAGACGAATTGTTTACCTTTCGGAACTGCTTACAACGATGTTATTGCCTTTGTTCGTATTGTATTTTTGTTTATGCACTGCTGACAGATGCACTAATCCGATATCATCTGTTGTGAAATTAGCTACACTGTAAATAAAATTAGAATAACCAAGAATAGGGATATTCGGATGAATGCAAATGATGGTCAATGAGGAAAGATACGTTTAGCTGAAGGTAGTCTTTGGAAACTTGTTAAAGGGAGACTTTAAAGACGATCTAAAGGGTGTCTTCATAGTCAAGGAGAAGAGTTTAAAGGAGACTTTATAGACGAGACGAAGAGATTATTTATAGTCAAGGAAAGACGAGTTGAAAGGAGTCTTAATAGAGGAGCGAAAAGGTGTTTTCATAGACGAGCTGATAGGATTCCTTATAGAAGGATTATAGCAATCTTTATAGATGAACTGGCAGGTGTCATTGTAGACAAAATGAAGAATGGATTTTTAAAACATTGGTCCTGCATACTTTAGTTCCATTTTGTTTTTTGTTAAAAAATTCCAGAAATTAATGTATTCTCTTTCGAAATCGATATCGAAATGGCTATTGGTTACATTATATACCCGCCATAATAATTAGGGTCCTTGGTAAAAATGTCATGAAAGCAGGCAGTTTGTCTATAAATACTCATTTCGCCTCGTATCTAAAGTCACCCTTGAATTTGTCTATAAAGATTTCAACTTTTCTATAAAACACCCTGCCCTAAAAAACTGTCTTCATGTCGTCTCCCTTCAGTTCTTTTCAAACCGTATTTTACGACATTTAGGTTCTTTGGTGAACCTTTTTCTTTAAATCAAGCAGCTCGTCTACAAAGACTCCCTTCAGCTCGCCCATAAAAACACGCTCCATCTCATCTACAAAGACTCCCTTCAGCTCGTCCAAAACACAAAAAGTACCGCAACTTTAAAATGTAATTCAAAATGGTTATTGGAAACTGTATCATAATAGGTATTTAGGGCCCCTTTTACTTACCATAATGTTAAATACATTTCATTACAATGCTTACGAACTTTAAAATAACTTCGACCATAACCTCAAATATGCCAACATAAAATTCACTTTATTTTGCGACCAATAACTCATTGTCCACACCAACAATTCCAAGGACACCTAAAATTCTAATTGGAATTTTGAACCTTTATTCTGTGTCTATCCGTTCAGCGTACTCCCCGAAATACCCAAGTACCCATTAACTGTCCAACACTATTGGCGCGCAAAAATAACTTTGACATTTGCATTGTTTACGTTTTTCGGGGGTATTTGTTTATTTGTTTATTTGTGTGTGCAACAACCAATCATGGACGATTTATCCAAACTGCGAAAGAAAATTACCAATGCATTTAAGCTAAGTGGATTTTTAATACGTTCCGAAAACAGCATCTTCTTGGCAGAACAATTGGCCCCCTTCGATGACAATGAACGAGAAAAATGGCTGACGATTATTACCGAAAATCTACAAAGTCAACGTTTGAAATCGGCTCATGTCGAAAGAGCCGCTCTGGAAAAGGCCATCAATGAAATAAATCGTGTCGGCCTGGATGAGGGTGAATCAGTTTTCTCGGTGATTGATGCCTTCTCGGTGCCACGTTATATTTATAACAAGCAAAATAAAAAATTCGAATTAGATTCGGAACACCGGTCATTGTTGGCTAAGACCACAATGAAGTCGGGACAAATGAGGCAGCGCTACGAGATGTTATTACAAAAGACATTGCGTCATGAACTATTTGCTCCGGCTGTAATTGAGAATGGGGTATCGGCTGAGTCGCGTGCCAAGAAGTTTAAGTTGCTCTATTGTGAGAATCTCTTGTCGAATTCTGTGGTCGAAGAGGCTGTCGTGTTGGGTTTGCTAACACAATTAAAAGAGGGTAAATTTTTCATTGAAGATCCTACGGGTAGTGTGGAACTTGATTTGAGTGGAGCCAAATTTCATGCTGGTTTCTTTTGTGAGGGATGTTTTGTGTTGGCAGAGGGTTCCTATGCGGGAGAGGTTTTGAAAGGTAAACTTGATTATTTAATACTAAATTTATTGTTTTCCCTATACAAGTTTGTTTATATTTCAGTGGATGGCTTGGGTTTCCCACCAGCAGAACCAGCCGCAAGTAGCCGTGCCTTTTTCGGCACCCAAAACAGCTGGGGAGGTGAATCCACAAAACTCTTGAAATACTCCGCCAGACTGCAAGAATTGGAGAGGTCCAATACGGAAGCCACCATTGTCTTTTTATCGGATGTACGTTTGGACATGCCTGTGGTTATGGAAAAACTTCGAATGCTTTTTGTTGGCTATGATTCCTGTCCGCCGGTGGCCATCGTTTTAATGGGTCCTTTTGCTGCTTCGGAAAGACAACATCATGCCTTGAAACATCATCTCAACGCTTTAGGAGCCTTGGCCAATGGCTGTGAGCAATTGAAAAAACAAACAGAACTCATTTTAATTCCCTCAAGTGAAGATCCAGCAGCACCGAATATATTCCCCAGATCAGCCATACCCAAAACCTTAGCAGCCGGTTTGCTAAAGCAGTGGCCACGTACACGTTTAGCCACCAACCCATGTCGCCTACAGTACTGCACACAGCAAATTGTTGTTTGTCGTTTGGACCTGATGGCGAAATTTTGTCGTAACACATTACATTTTCCACCAGATACCTCAAAAATTGAACAACATTTTGCCCGTACTTTGATATGTCAGGGTCATTTGACACCCATACACCCGATTGCTATGCCTGTGCATTGGGATTATGATGCCGCTTTGTGGCTCTATCCATTACCCGATCTAATTGTTATTGGTGATTCGTGTCAGAGTTTTTCCACTTCCCAACATGGTTGTACGGTTTTGAATACCGGTTCGTTTGTTAAATCGAAATTTGCGTTTAAAGTTTATATACCGCACACTAAGACCATCGAAGATTCAGAAATACCAGACGATATGGAAGAGTAAATAAGGGTTATTGATATTTTATAGTATTTTTTTAAGGGAAAACTGTTTTTAATAAATGTTTTTAATAAAGTTGTTTTAAATAAAAACAAATGTATATATTTTAACTGCTGCAAGACCTTCAATATGTTTTCTATAGATAATGCAGTTTCTATATAATTAAAGGATCTGCAAATATGCCTCCTGTAGTTATAAAACCTTCAAGTGTTCTATAGATTATCTAGAAGTATAAGTCCTTACATAAGATGAAAGACCTTAAAGTGATCATCTGCAGTTAGATGATCATAGAGGGCCTTCAAGGGGTCTTCTATATAAAAAAGACGTTAAGTAAAATCTATATAGACAGCAGAAGCTGAGGGAAGTCTTTATCGACGAATTGTAAACCTTGAGCATTTATTTTCTATTATTTAACGCTTATGGTGGTATTGGTTCTTGAAGTACATCAACATTTATTGATCCGTTTGGATCCAGAATATGTATAATGTATCTAACGAATATTTTAACGTGTTACAAGCCGACTGATAAATGAAATATACCTTTCAATATACAACCACTATATAGCGCCATCTACCTATACGAAAAGGAAACATTAATTTGTCGCTACCAAATTCTGCAACGCTTAATGAAATCAGCTGTTTATAAAGCAAAAATTCTAATACTTCTCCAAGAGGTCTGACCAAATCCAAGGTATTCCGTAATTTTGGTATCCAAAAATGTTAAGAATTACCCAAAACACAACCGGTGTCATAACCAAAAGCCTTGGTAGGTATTTCCCGAAAAGTACCACAGATATTTTCCATATTATTTAATAAATTTCATTGACCAAACGCAGCTCGTAATATCTCGTGCACGTCCCAGGTTTGCATCGATCAGAGATGGCGTGAACAACATGGTCTACCGGCCAATCCCAATGAATTTGGACCCCTGACCAATTTGCCCGATTATACATTTTTAGATGGCCGGCCCACACCAATGGGTGTAAGTTAGGAATACTGACCTTGTCCTATTGCTATGTTATAGCTAAATTCCATTCTTTTCTTCTGTTTCTTCCCTTACAGTCCAATCAAAAGAAACGTTTGCTGAAACAACAAACCATTGCCGCTAAAATTGTCACCCTTAGCAAGGAGTTGGATATGGCCAAGCAACGCTATCAACAGCTACAACAACAGGAGCAAGAAAAACGCCAACAGATTATGCAAGCTAAACTGAAACCTAAGGGTAAATTGTTGCTAGAGAATCTGAAGAAGTAGAGAGACCCGCATGGGTGTATCGCGTCGTTGTGCATTAACATTTTCTTAAATAAGTTTAATTGTTATAAATAAATAATTATGTTAATAAATTAAAATATGTATTATTTGATTATATTCCAAAGTAATAGGTAACCTGCGGCATTCTCTTGTATATTGTGCTACAGCGCAGTAAAAAGTATTTGTTTAGCCATTGTTTTGTGACACTTATTAAAGGAAGCTGAAGGGAGTCTTTATAGACGAGCTGAAGGGAGTCCTAATTGACGAACTGAAGGGAGTCCTAATTAACGAGCAGAAGAGAATCTTTATAGGCGACCTGAAAGGAGTCTCTGTAGACGAGTTGAAGGGAGTGGTTATAGGTGAATTGAAAGGAGTTTTATATACGAGCTGAAGGGAGTATTTATAGACGAATTGAAGGGAGTATTAATAGACGAGCTGAAGGTAGTCGTTATAGACAAGCTGAAGGGGGTCTTTATAGACGAGCTGTAGGGAGTCTTAATAGACGAGCTGAAGGCAGTCTTTATAGATGAGCTTAACTTTCTGGTTGTCCTTAAAACATATTCCACGTTTTATTTGTCCTTGAAAAATTATTCTTTAAAAGTCCAAGTTTTATTTGTCCTTGAAAAAATATTCTTTAAAATCCACGTCTATTCGTTGTAGGTCCTTGAAAAATATAAAAATCCACACCTATTCGTCTGTTGGACCTTGAAAAAATATTCTTTAAAAATCCTCGCTTATTCGTCTGGTGACCTTTGAAAAAATATTCTTTAAAAATCTACGCCTATTCGTCTCTTGGGCCTTGAAAAAATATCCTTTAAAAATCCAAGCCTGACATAAACACGTAGGACTATAATAATATTAAAGGAATCCTTGCACTATGGTTCCGTTTTAATAATGGACACTTATGACGAAGACTATTGTAGGGTAACAAGAGATCGTATTGACCCGAATTTCCTCATGTTTCCATTTTAGTTTAACATATCAGCTGTTCGCTGTCATACATATGTTGACAGTTGTATTCGTGTTGTGACATAACCTCTGTCGGGTCTGTTGGGAGAGCGTTGCGTTTCTTGTTGAGGTATATTTCTTTAATGAATTATTAAATAAAAAATAATAATTCTTCTATTTTGAACAGGACCAAAATGAATATAACACCCATGCTGCGCACAGGGCTGTACTTGACCCAGCGTTCCGTGGTCAGGCAGTATGCATTTAAATCGGATTTAAAAATCAAATGGGTACGACCTGAGAAGATTCCATCCATTCACCCGGAAAAGAGCGGTGATTGTGCCAAATTGCCACCGGTAAACCCCAAAGAGTTGATGTTGGGTTTCGACAAATCCAAGGAATTGGAAACGTAAGACCATACCAACTACCCTGTGAAATCGAATAACTTTAAGTATTGTTTTTACAGAGCTGATGCCGCTGTAAAATCTCTTTTTGAGTTGGGTAATAATCCCTATTTCCACACAGCCAAATACTGTAGTGAACAATTGATCAAGGAAGTTCAACGGCATCCATTGGATTATGGTTCCATGGAGGCTAAATGTAAGTTGTTTTCATAGACAATACAATCCAATAACATTAATCCCACTATTGATTTTCACCTCTCTCCCCAGTGGCCCGTATGACCGCCTTCATACGTAGATATCAGCAGTATATGGAAGAACATCCCCGCGATAAGAAACGCAAAGTTATGCTCAAGGAAATGATTGAGAAACGTAAGAAATTCCTTAAGTATTTACGTCGTTGGGATTATCGGCGTTTTGAATGGATTTTGGAAAAATTGGATTTAGTATATAAACCACCACCAGCAGAATTCCATTGGATTACCCGCAAGGAGTCATTGCAAAAGTTAACAGATATACATTGTGAAAAGTTGCGTCAAGAAAAATTAGCTGAATATCGTAAAACTTTGGAAGAGCAACAGATTCCATTTTTGGAAGATGCCATAAAGAAAATGCAATTCATTCGTCAGGAACAAATCGATTTGGATATACCGGTGACAATTAGCGAAGCCGATATCGAAGAGAATAAAAAGAAATTGCAGGAATTGAAAGCATTCAGAGATGAAACAAAGGCGGCAAGTAAAAGTAATGAGTACTAAATATTGCGATAGTTAACAATTTTTGTTATATGATATAAATAGTTTATAATAAACACAAGTGTTATAAAACATAACTGTTTGTGATGAGTGCAGGTTTTTTATGTCAGAATGGTTAAGGGGCTAATGTGGATAATTTAACAATGCTTTCTTTCTAATATTGATCTTAGTATGGTTTCAAATTAAAGACCGGATTTGCTATAAAGAGTTCTTTAAGGCTGTAATTTGGCATATTGGAAAGTAAAACAAATTTTTGCTGAAAAATTTCTATACAGGTCCAAGTTATAATATAGTCTCATATAAATGTTTCTAACCAAATTTTCTCATTGAAGTGACTATAATTTGGCATATCGGATCCCTGACAAATAAGAACTCCTTTCCAGAAATTAATATATGGCAATGTATTAAAAAACTCCCATACGAATGACCCGTTTTCCAACCTGGGTGTGTGGAATTTGGAACATAATTCCCATATAAAGGTCCAGATCGATTTAAGAAAATTCTGAATACACACAACGTGATGGAGGGTGTAAAAAGTTCGATCCGACCGAGCTTAACGATGTTTTTGATTGTCTTCTCATTTCCCATTAAATAGGGGTATTATTCTAATACGATTATTTACTACCACTACAAATTAAAATCAAATAATTATGGGATATGATGATCTTTATTATTATTCATAATATATTCAATAATGTCATCTAACAAAATATTATAGGATTTGTTGTTTTTGTTTTATTAGCAAACAAACATGGTTAAATTACAGAAATTTGTAATATTGTGCACAGAAACAAATACTAAAACATTAGGAGGGGGAAAATACTTTTTTTGCAATCTAAAGTAAAATATTTTAAGAAAAAATTGTAAACAAGAATTCAATAGCCAAAGGGTTTAAAATGTTGTTATATACCATAATATATATAGAATACTTAATTCATGTTATGAAATTCAAAATTTTCTTTTTTAATTTTAGGAATTTTCAGTATGGGATAATTTTTAAGTTTCTCTCTTTTTCATTTTTAATAAAACATCATGCATAGTAATAATATTAAGGTAGTATGTGTGTGGGTGTGTAGTTGTATGTGTTGTTTGCCATATATTAACGTTTACGTTTTGGTGAAATCGATCTTGAACGTGATCGAGTCCGCCTGTGGGAACGCGGTGACCTGGAGTGCTTGCGAGATGAACTCGAATTCCGACTGTGATTACGTTTGGACGATGATAGTGAACGTGTTGAACTGTGTGATTTTGAGCGTGAATTTGAATCATCACTGTTGTGATGACTGTGATTGGATGAGGAGGTTTTATGGCGATCGCGCGGCGGTGGCGAACGCTGTCTATTTTGTACTTTGTTTCTATGTGGACTACGACTATGGGAGCGTGAATGGGAGGGCTTCCTGTTTTTGTGACTACTCTTTGATCTAGGTTTCGAGTGAGTCGATGATCTTGACGATGATGATGTGTTGGACGATGACGATGATGCAGAAGAGGATGACGACGACGAGGAGGAAGATGACGATGATGATCGGCTTGAGGAAGATCTTGAATGTGCATGTCTTTTGTGTTGCTGGGATCTGCTACGGGAACGTGATTTTCTTTTGTTGTCGTATTTTGAACCAGAAGCATTGTAATTCGATTTATTATTAGAACCCTCCTGATGACCATCTCCATCAGCATCATCCTCATCGCCAAACAGATCATACTTGGCCAAGTCATCTTCATCTCCTTCTTCTTCGTCGTCCTCATCATCATCTTCCTCTTCTGCATTGTTTGCTGCACGTTTTGTGTTCGATTCCCTGGCGCCCTTTTTGCGTTTCTTTAGACGACCAAATTCATCGTATTCGCTGTCGGATTCAACGTGCTCCTTATACTCAACTACGCCACGATCATTGTAACCACCTCCCAAGCCTGCAAAACACAAATATTATTAATTGTCCTACACACACACAATTTAAGCCTTAAGCTTAACTAACCCGTCCTTTCCTCATTATCGATCACCTTTGGAGCATTACACATATTGCAGGTCTGGCGACGGGCCCAATTAACATTCGCACATTTGTGACACTGCCAATCATCGGCACTAAACAGACCACGAGACTTTTCCGCTGCAGCCTTGCCAATCTCCGTGCCCAGCTTTTTGCTACCGGCCGCATTGCTTCCACGTTCGGTGCTGCGGGAACGACGACACTTATTGCAACGACTGCGTCGAGCAAAATTCAAATGTCGACAGCTGTGCGAAAAATTTCAGAGACAAAATATAAAATCAACAACAACGACGACAACAAACCAAAGAACCACAGCAGTCGTCCCAGACACACACACACAAACAAAGTAGTGTCGGCAAGCCAGGCAAGGACGATAGAGGAGAGACACCGAGAAAAACACGACCAAATAGAAAGAATTAGATTAGTACACTGTTTTTTGTGTTCAACCAAATTGCATTTGGACATTTTTTGGGTGTGTGGTTCTATTAAGCGTCCACAGCAAGCACCACTCACGTTACATCACCACAAATCCAATCACCACCGCTGCTGCTTTCCGAAACAGAAGACATCCTTTTCTTGCAGTTTTTTGAATTTTTATTCTGAAAATTTCAATTCCATTCCAAGCTTTTTTCGCAAAAAAAAATTATCTCCCGTATACAGTTTGGGGATGAGAATATCGATTTTTTTTTGTCTAATCGATAGAAATGTCAAAGGTGGTTATTATCGTAATTATGCAAGGTAGATTTAATAAGGTAGACGCACCAGAACAGCTGTTGGTACAATTAAATGTCAACAAGTTAAGACGTTGTTAAGTCCAGTGGAATCGAACTTTTTATAAACTCCATCATGGACGTTTAAAATGCCTGAGACGCTCATAATGTCCAAAATGTAGAAAAATGGTTGTACCCTTATATGGGAGGTATCCTAAAAAGTGGGTCAATATTAATCATTTTTTGCTGGAGTAAACGAATCTTAATTTTAGTTCAAAATACCAAACTACAGCCAATTTGGGTGAGAAATGTGACAATACTCTCCAAAATAACAAAATTTGGGAGGAAATGTTATATGAATAGTAAGATTTGACGTCCAAAAAAATTAAAAGTACCAAAATTTAGCCCATTCGTATGAAAAACGCGTCCAGTATATCAAAATTACCGAAATTCGGGAGCATTATTATTCCCAAATATCAAATTCTAGCCCATTCGGTTCTTGAAGATCTCAAAATACCGAAAATTTTTTGGTTATGGTCTGTTCCCGTACTGCAAGAATCTACTAGTTTTTACTATTTTGTTCGATATCATAAAGGAAAAATGTGTTATCGTAGTAAAAAGTAGTAGATTCCTGCTGTACGGAAACAGGCCAATAGTTTGGTAGAACCCAAAATATCAACGTACGTCCAAAAGCGACGAAAACGTTAACGAAATCCTCAGAATACCGAAAATTGTGGAGTACCGTTTAAAGGGGGTCTATATCTAAACGTGGATTTTTCTTCTTCGATCTTATGAATATAAAAATGTCCGAAAACCCCCATACTTTCTGCTGAAGTTGATATCCGTCTTAAATTCTCAGAAGTCTTAATTAAAGGCCCATAGCTCCTAAAGTATGGATTTCTGCAAGGAAAAAAGTAATATCCTTAAAATCAAGCCCTTGAGGACTACATATAGTAAAAATGCAATAAGAACCGCGACCGTGTCCTAAACTCAATTTGTTACCATTATTATAATCTACCTTTGAGGACTTTCACTTTAATTTTATATAAGAAATCTGTAATATTTTTTTGCAGTTCCTTTTTATTTGATTAACTAATTTCATGTTAACGGAACATACCCATTTTTTTCTTTTTTTTTTTTTTGTAATGCAGTGTTGACCACAATTCATCTCTTATCGATTATAAAAACACACTGAACATACCCATTCTAAGTGGCGTTATCGATTCCCGCGTTTTGTTCCCTCTTTTGTTGTCAGTTTTTTATTCGGTTGATAAACATAACCAAGCCACAACAAAATAACTCGGTCATGTACGCCGCCGTACACCCAAATCACTATCATTATCACTGATTTTAATCTACGTTATCTCTTAATTCCCAATTACAAAGAACATGTGATTAATTGTATTATAAAAATAAAATTTGTTAATTTTTTTATAATACAGATAAGAAAAAAATCCGTTAGAGCGGCTGCTGTCAAATACAAACATGTCACGACGTCTTTGTTTTTGCAAATGAACGGCGGCATTGCTGTCATCTGTTTGGCTCCATACTTTGTTTCTTTAATTTTGCATTCTTCAAGATTTTTTCGGGCAAATTTTTTCACCACGAAAGGAATATTGCACTTGCTTTTTTTTAATAATATTGCTTTCACGGGGAATTTGTTAAGAAAAATTCGGTGTTGATTTAAGTGTTAAGTGTTGTGATTGTGCTCATCGGGCGAGAGAGTGAGGAAAAAACCATTTGTCAACGGAAAAAACCATTTGACAATATTTCACAACAGAAACGCCAAAAAAGAAAAAAGAAAGAAACGACAACCAACGGTGGACAACAGCAAGCAGCAGTGACAAGGAGAAGAAGAAAAAGAAGAAAGGAAAAAAAGCATTCAACGTCTAAGACGCATTTTTTGTCTGTCTGTCTCACCTTTCTTAATGTTTTGTATATATCTTTATTAAAAAAAATACTACAAGGAATCAAACAAGAACAACGTCAATATTTTACAACAAAATTTCGGGAAATTGAAAACAACTAACAATTTTGGAACTTGCATTTTTGCCGTCTAAATTTTTGATATTTTCATTCACACACATTGGAAATTGCAGCCATAAATTAGCAATTAAGGTCTTCAAGATACTGCCACAAAGCAAAATTTATTTTGCGTCGGCCAAGACAAAGGAAACGACGACGATAGCGACAACGGATAAGGTTTGCTCGATTCCCATCCGACAACATCTGCTCTGGAACACGTTTCACCATGGCTAACATGATTGGCAACAATAACAATCCGAACAGCGGCATGTCGTCGTTGGCGGCAGCGACGGGATCTAATACGACGACGAACTCCTCAACGGTAGGAGGTCACCACAACAGCAGCAACAGTAGTGTGGGTGGCATATCGAGTCTTCGTGAAATCAGTGATTATCTGCTGCCCAATGGCGGTATGATAAATTTGGCACCGGGTCAGTGCCCTTATGATCATATCATTGAAATGATACGAGGTCTAGATCTCGACGACGATGGCATTACAATGAATCACAAAATCAAATCGATTGAAATGGATTTTTGTAATATTGTTCAGGATGAGAATATGCTTTGGTAAGTAGTCGCTCAATAAATGTTTTGTTTTTACGCTACTAATCATATATTTGAGGTTAGGTTTGGAAGGACAGACGGGAGGGTTAGTTAAAATAGTTGTGGCAATGGTGTTGCTGTGGCTGCTTTTTGTTTTTGTAATTATTGGAGGGGTCATGACGCGTACTAACTAATCTAGATGTGCCTGTGAGTGTGTGATACATGCTGCTGCTGTTTATAGCACACAAAGCACCAAGTAAACAAAACGACGTTCAGGGTAGCCCCGTTTAGTAATTTTTTAATATATTTCATGCTACTCTCTCATTTACCTTTGTTTGTTGTTACCTTCCTCCTTCGTTTATTGACGATGATAACTTGGTTTAGTTATGTTAAGCTGCTAGCCTAGCTATGGCTTGGTGGTTTGTCTGTCTGCATGTTTGTTGTGACGCATATATTGACCAAATGTTGTGTGGTCGTTTCGGCCATTCATTGATGACTATTTTAATTATGTTGTTGTTGTAATATTGGATTTCTAATGCGCTACTGCGCTTGAAACACCAAAAAGAAAATACAAAAATTCGAAATACGAAATTATTTCTTATGCGAAACAGGGAGAGAGATTGGTTTTTTGTTCCCGTGATTAAACTGTGAAATTAGCAAATAACTATTTGGCGAAAGGAAATCCAAAAAAAAAAAATATCTTATGTTTATCCAGAATAATTTTGGATAATAATGGATATGGAAGAGAAAAAAAAATGCATAAATCTAAAAAGGAAAGAATTTCTAAAATTTGTTTCTAGATAATCAGTGGATTGAATAGGAGGGCCGGGTGTTTTTTATTTAAATTATAAATTTGATTTTTATTTACGTGACCTGTTGAGGTCAAACCCCCGCATAAAGGTCATTAAACGCCTTAGTGTAATATCTATACTAACAACATTTTTGAGTGTGGGTATATGTAATTGAATACTAATAGCATATCGCCCACTAAATATGCATTGATTGACAAGAGGTATTATTTTGAATAATCCGGTATATTGATAGCTACCACTATTCTATTCAATCTTCAGGAACCATTTTGAAAATTTTTAAAATATTACAGACACAGTTCTAAAATTAAAAGTATTTTTTGGAGCTTGTCGTCGGACCGTTATTGACCTGAAGAATAAAAACCTTGCAAACCATTCATAAATTTGTTACTGTAGCCAAAAATAATGAAGAAACTCCAAGTTTGTCAAGTCATCATCATCCGATATTCAATCGACAAATCATCTTGACTGGTGAGGACAATTTCCACTTCGGTTATTAAGCCAAAAAAAGTAAAAATCCGGAGCTTGGAAAACCGACAACAAACTGATGAAGAGTATGCTTGAAGTATTAGTAAGTGTTGAAGAGCTTTATAGAGAATCGCATAGCTGACGAGAATTGCCAAAGGTCCAAGAAGGAGTCCCTTACAAGTCCGAGCAGGTGATGTGGAGGCATCTAGAGGTCTAAGTAGGCAAGGATAGGCTCTCTACACGTATCAAAATACGAAGAGGGGGTTGTTAGATGTGTAGGTAGTTAAGGCTGAACTATTCATATTATTAATATGTAATAACGAAATTCATAGGGATTCAAACAGGTCAAGAAGTAGATATAGAGTCCTAGTAGATATTACAACTCTCTCTCTCTCTGGAGGTTTGACCAGAAGATGAAAATGGCTGCCAGATATCTAAGAAGCTAAAACGGAACTATAAATTTTCCAAACATGTAGTAAGCTTTATAGGGGTCCGAACAGGTCAAGAGGGGAGTACGTCTAAAGCCTTAATAGGTATTGAAGATCTTTTTTTAGGCTTAAATTGTTTTCGAGGAGCTCCTCAGAGGTATGGACAACTAATTACATCCTCAGCAAATAATAATCGTTAACATGTTCTTTGTTGCTCTGAAAGATCTTAGAAAATATTCCCAGTATTATTGATAAGCATCTCATAGATATCCTTAAACAATACCCTGCCTTGTTGTAGTAACCCACGAATAGTAAGCCCAATTTTCTCTCCCACGATACTTTTATTGCAATCCACTTAAAACCACACTTAACCAACTATGTATGTGCCTGTGTCTACATTTAAATTGAAGATAATTAAAAGTTTACAGAAACATTTAATTAACTTCAATTAAACACAAAAACAACAACTTTTTTCTCTTGACTATATGAATCATTGCATAACAAAATTTTTTATAAATAAATCTTTTCTTTATAATTTCTTTGCAGTGAATCAATGGCCTATATTAATGACAAAGCTCTTGAGGATGGAGAGACGGCATTAAAATTTGCATTATTATTTGCCTCACGTAATTTCGATGTCTTGGCCATGAAAGAGACCAAGGTGCGCACGGCCATGTTAACCCTGCTGCAAAAGAATTTCGTCAATTCGGAAAACTATCGACTATATGATCGTGAACGTTTGTATAATTCTATAATATTGCTAGGTGAATACTATCATCGAGTGCGTTTGGCTGACAATGCCCCCATAACAATTTTGGGCGAATCCCTGCTAAGTCTTTTGATTCGAGAAATTAGCGAGGAGAAAAATGTCAATAATGTTAAATTGGTAAAATTGATATTGTCACAAATTACCCTAAATGGTGGCCTATTGCGCAATCTACACAATGCCGATCTATCACAACTTTTATATCTGATACGAAAGAACTTGATTGAACAGCCAAATTTGAAACCGAACGTCAAAGCCATTATGTTAATGACTTTGGATTTGTTTTATAGTAATTTTGAAAGTCTCGGTTCACAGTTGGAGGGTATGTATTCGAAATATCTGATAATGGAAGATGATGATGACCCGGAGGATATGGGTAATAATAATCAAAATATGTCATCACCACCTGCTCAACAACAAACACAACAACAGTCTCCATATTCTAACAATACCTGCCCAACAACAAATAATACACAACGTCAAGGCTATATAAAGGAAACGTCGTGTAACAATTACGATGAAGTTCCCCTGCCATCATCTTCAAATAACACCAGCTATGAAAATGGTGATTCGGGAAATGTCAACGATAATACCGAAGAAGATCATGATAATTACAAGCGATGGAATGATCAGGAATGTGGAGATTCTTTGGAAGAGTGTGACATCAATGTCGGTGGTGGTGGTAATAGTGCCACTAATCGTGGTGCTACATACCGACATGATGACCGCGACCAGTTGCATTCGTCCAATAGCCGACATGAAAATGATCCAGATCGAGATAGTCGTAATTCAAGGCGTTCATATCAACCCAGACAATCGCCAAGACCCTTGAATCAGAACTATAATCGGTATGTGTATAACAATAAGTAGTATTTGAAATTTAATTGTTTAATATTATTTTATTTTTTAAAAGGCGAAAAGTCCTAGAATTTCTATAATCAACCCTTAATGGTCCCTTAAACGTCAAGATTATTTTTATAAAAAAATCTATCCATAATAGTATCCTAGTCCTCTAGAAGATGTAATTAAAATTCAATTCTAATGGTCTGCTGAACCCATAAAAATCAACCATTAATGGTGTCTCAGCTCGATAAAAAATATTCATAAATATCCACCGTAAAAAGACCCTTAAAATCACCCTTAATGATTGTTTAGCCTTCAAGATTACTTCTTTAAAAATAGACAGATAATGATTTCCTTGTTATCTAGAAAATAGCCGTAACAAATCCAAGATTAATCGTTTCCTAGTCCTGGAAAAAAAATATCTTTAAAAGTCCTCATTTGTTTCAACACAGCCTTAGAAAAAAATGTATCTTTAAAAGTCCACATTTATTTCCATCCTAGCCCTTCTTAAAAATACTCATATTTGTATGCGTCTTAGCCCTCGAAAAAATACCTATAAAAATTAACACTTATTTGTTTCATAGCCTTCTAGAAAATATCCTTAGAAATCAATCTCCTTTGTAGAATATTCCTTTAGAGAATAACCCTTAAAATCCACACTTCTAGGTCAGATTTTTCCTATAGAAAATATCTTTTAAAAATCCACGCTTCTTGGGCGAAGACTTCTCTTGAAAATGTCTTTTAAAAATACACGCTTCTTGGACGAAGACTTCTCTTGAAAATATATTTCAAAAATCCACGCTTCTTGGACGAATACTTCCCTTGAAAATTTCTTTTAAACATCCACGCTTCTTGGACGAAGACATCCCTTAAAAAATATATACTCTATAAATCCACGCTTCTCGGTATAAAATATGTTTTAATATACTATTTTTAACCTTTCTTCCTTTCTTTTAGACAACAACAACATGAAAATCAACAACATGCTAGGGACTCACAGAATAGTGGTAATGAGGAGCGTGACGAATCAAAACCCCTGCCACGTTGGCGTGCACCACGTTTCAATCGTGATGATCAACACAAAGACAATCGTAGTCGTAATGTACAGCGCCGATTCAGTGGCAGCTTCGATGATGATCGTCAAAGTGTACGCAGTGACGGTGGCAGTATCCGTCTGTATAGTATAAATGATCGTCTCAAACATGCTCAAGAGAAAATCGAACGGTCCGGCAATCCAAGCACTTATACGGGCATTGCAAATTCTAATTGGGATCGCCAGTCACAACGCGATGATCGCAGCGAACGTTCGTATATGAGTAATTATGAACGTGGCAATAATCATCGTCGTGGTGGCCGGCACTACAATCAACGCCCAATGTATGATAAACCACCACGTTTCCAAAAGAATAAAGGTGCTGCTGCGGCGAACAATCACAATGGAGGCGGTGGTGGTGGCGGTGCTATGGATAAAAATCAGTCATCCGATACGTGGAGACGTTCGAATAGCAATCTTAAGTACTATGATGAAAATTCACAATACAATAATACAAATGGTCCGGAATCGAATAGTCGCAGTTCGTCACGGGCTCGTACATTGCCACGACCGGCAAAATCTAGAATGGATGGCAGTGGTCCGGGTGGCAATTCATACAGACGTAGTCAAAGTCCCAATAGCTATCAAAGTGGCCGTGGAGGTGGTGGCGGCAATCATCACAACAGTCACAATCATCAAAACAAAAACCGGACACGCCACTTTGGCCAACGCTACAGCAGTCAAAGTAGTTTAGCTAGCGAAGCGTCCAGTACATTTGATCGCCATACGCAGCATCATAGAAATCGTTCATTTTCCAGACGCAATCCTTCTTCCGCCATGCACCAGCAATCCGAACAGCCACCACCACAACAGCAAACACAACATATCCCGCCACCACCGCGTAAAGAGAAGGAGAACGAAGACGATTGGACAGACAATGAGGCGACAAACAGTGAATTGGTACGTAATGCCCGCCAAACAACTGATTATATGAATTACTTATCATCAAAGTAACAAAAAAAAAAATGTTTGGTGTAAATTTCTTAACACATTTAGTAAATAAATATGTGTATACATACTACATATATTTATATACATATATACAAACAAAAGACGTTATCTTAACGTATGGGAATAAACTTGCATGTGTGTGCGTGTGTATTTTTGTTTGTACAATTCCCGCCTAAAACATAAAGTAATTCAGATATTTGTGTATTTCTTTTTTAATTAATTAATTGCATCTTATATAAATATATATATTTTTTTATAATAGAATGTAGATTTGTTTATTTTTTGATTTAAGTAACTTTTTCCACATTGAAATAATTATTCTATACCTTCGTTTGGAATGTTCTATAATTGTACTTATATACATATATATGATGCTATAATATTTGATCAAATTTTCTTATTTGTTTATACTTCATTTTCATAGATGTTGTAATTGTAACTACTATGTAATCCAAAATTTCTATATGTATGTAATTGTTAATTGTTGTTCATATTCATTATGTTGCAATTATTCTAAACTCGTAATACTTTTTAAAACAGACTCTTAAAGGAATGGGTTGTGTACTTGTGTTTTTTGTTTCCCCTCTCTTCTTTTGTTGTTGTAGTTAGCCTCTTTTAAAATATATTTTCATAACTAAATTTCAAAATTTTATGCTTGGATTTGATGATTGATATAAACAGAGTTACCCTGATCTTTTGTAGTTATCTTTTAAATTTAAATTTTCAGCATTGAAATAATTAAGAAATATGAAAAGTAAACTACTGTTTGTCATACCAATACGTAAGCTGCTTCTACAGATCCAGCTCCAATTCGTGTTAATCAAATTACTCTAACTACTATAGTCCAGGCTAAAATTTTATTAGTTTGATAAAATTCAATTCCTTGTAACTTACTTAAGTGATTTACTATATATTTTTTATTGCCATAGTGTGATAATTTCCAAGCTTGTCAGCATATTTAAAAGGCTGAACTGTCTGCAGCAAAGGCGGGGTTTTTCAATCTTCTTCTTTTTTTTTTAATCTTTTTATAGAAGTCTAGAAGCTCTTCTAGAGAAGACTAAAATGCCTGTTTACAGGACTCCTTATAGATGATGTATTCTCTGATGAAGTCTTTGATAAGAAGTCCTTCTGGTCTACTATAAGAATACCTACTTAGAAAACCCGTCAACCAAAAGGTCTTATCATATATTCAACAGGTTCGTCTGTCGACCTCATACCATTCATTGCAAATGGTTTTCAACTTCTCTTTGAAACAGACGCTGTGGTTGCTGCGAACCCTCTGTTGTGTTTTATATGTATATTTTGCTTCTGTATATTGACTACAGAGTACAAGCGAAAAATACACCTTAACAGTACTTGCCAAGTTACGTTATGTTGGAATTCCTTCGATTTGAAGTTCTCCAATTGCTTACCTTCCCGTCCAGTACCACTTTTTGACTTGGACCCTTTGGATGCCACAGTAGGTAGCATAGTTTCTAAAGTCTCTGGATCATCCACTCTTGACTCCTTTTTCCTCCGAGACTACTTGCCTCAGAAGCACTCGTTTAGCAGCTATTGCAGATGCAGATAAGAGACAGTTTCACCTTGAAAAGGTCGGTATCTAGCCATAGCCATAATTTAACCTGGCTCGTCCTTAAACGGGGATAAATTCTATATGTCAGCTGGCATGATTTCCTGTCGCATTCTACAATGTGATTGTCGTCATTTATTTTTACTTGGAAATACTGGATTTTATTCTCGATATACGGCGGAATTAAACTCCAACATAACATTGATGATTGATGGAGAAAAGTTTCTGAATACCATACCCATGATATTGGGTGTTATGTACAAAGTCTTCTCCTGCTCCTATTCCAACCGGGCATAAATTATTAAAGACTTCGATTCTTCCTATTCCTCATCATCGATATTAGCTTTGTCGACAATGTGACTAATCACGATCTGATTAGCACCGACGCTTTTCTCGTCTTAGATGAAAATATCCTTATTATTTCCTTCGAACATTATCTGATTTTACCCAATCAATATCTGCTCTCTTGATAGTCACAGAAGCGTCAAATCAAATATCGGTATGCAAACTGATTTACATTCGGAATTAAGGTAATCTTAATTCGAACCAGCTGTACCAAATTACAGCTGGTTCGATAAAAAATGAGACTTGATTTCAACAGACAGATGGACGGACAAAAATGTACACAGAATTTTATTTTGATCCGTAATATGTATACCTTACTGGAGGCCCCAGTGATTATTTCGAGGTGTTTAAAAAATTTGAGTATGACGCTGAGCAAACATGAATAAAATTGGAGTTTCTAGTAAAGGTGGACCAACATAGATTCTAATCGGAACCCAAAATTTCAAACTTAAATCGATTATGTTGGTTATAGTGTCCAAAATGTGAAAACCAGTGGCTTTAACAAAAATTTTTTGAAAGATCAAACCGTCTAAGGACTCCAAGGGCTAAATAAAAACCAATTCGGTTGGATCAAGTGGTTAAAAATAGAAATTCGCTGTTATAGTTGGATCGATGTAGTCCATACGATCTGTCTGCTAACTTATTTATCATACCCATGGAAGGCCAGCAAATTATTAAATCCCTGTGGAGTGTCTATTGTCTCATTTTTGTCGATGATCAATGTCTTACAAGAATAAAAAATCTTTGTATATAAAGACCTTTTATTTGGAAGATGTGAGAAGCTAGAAAAGATCTGTGTAAAGATTTAGGAAAATATAGGGGAAGAACCGAACCTCATTATTCATTTGGATATAAGCTCAATTTGTTTCTACTCCCTTTTTATTCTACATTTTTGTAGGCATATACATTTTTTGTTGTTGTTTTAGAATCTGTTGCATGAACTTAATAAAGATGTTATTTTGTAAGCTAATCTCTATTGAAGGTTGCATGTAAAAAAATATATTTTGTGTTAAATCCCAAGTAATGTTTATACTCTTATATTTATTATAAGGAACATTTTAAAAAGATAGTAAACAAAACTTAATTATGTTTCTTTTCCTACCGAACAAATTCAAACAACAAAACAGATTCCATGAAGAAACATTTCACAGAAAAGCATTAACAACGGCTACCTATCTGTGTATTTAAACGTTTACCACTTGATAGAACCTTAACGTCGGAACGCATCTTTCCAATAATACACACCATCCCCTTTGTGCTAGCGGCAACAACAGCAGCAGAAGCCACTCCGTAATGGACTCAAATGAAATTGGTATTCCTTTAAATGTCTGTTAGTAGTTTAAAAGAAAATAAATGCAACAACAACAAAAACAACAATCATACATTATGAAATTCTACTGTGGTATAAAAGCAACAACAAGAGCATAATGAACAGAACATTGATCAATGCGGTAAAATTTATATATGTAACATTTACAAAATAATAAAAAAAACAAAATGATTATTTAAAATAAATGTAATAATGTATTTAAAAAAAAAAACACAGCAACAACAAAAAAACAAATAATTAAACAAAACCACATACATAGGTCTGAAAAGTTAAAACTAATCTTAAAACCAACAACAGAAAACAATTTAATTATTACTATTATGATTATCGTAAACAAAAACAGTCTATAATTGTAATTACTAGAGTTTATTATTATTAAATATTTGTTAACAATTTAAGCTTTCATTCATAATTTATATTTTATAAGTAGCCATTGTTTTATAAATCTCCACCACTGTTCATATCCGACAATGTGGTTTGTTCCATAACTTTTATCCCCAATCCCCTTCCCCAAAAAAATTAATAAAATTAAAACCTGCATCCAATCAATACCCACCTCCCTCGTGTCCTAACCCCCTCCCACCCACGCTTAAGTATCAAGTGATATGTATCTACGGAATTTTATAAGATTGTGGCATGATCGTTTATCGTTTATTTTAATTTGAGTAAAAAACAACAACAACAATTGTAAAAACAAATACTTATATTAAAAAAGAAAAAAATTAAAACAAAAATAAATAAAGTCATTCAAAATGACCTATTTTAAGCGTACTACTCCAAAATGTGTTTTATTTATATTGCTGATATCATTATCATAGAAATATTAATTGGAAGGCCAAATGAAAGTATATATACGAAAATACATATAAGTTGTAACCTTCAGAAAGAAAATACATATACGAAGAAGTCCAATGGAAGTCGTTTTATCTAGAGAGGTATTCTATATCCCCGAGAAGGTATTTTATCCATAGAAACCCTACTGAAGGTCTTCTGTCTATTGAAAACCTGTGAAAGGCCTTTGTCAATAGAAGCCCTACAGAAGGACTTTTATCCACAGAAGACCTATAGAGAGTCTTCTAATAATAAAAGACCTACTGAAGATATTATTTCAATAGACGATTAATAGATTATTGAAAACCTTCGAAAGGTCTTTTGTCTATAGAAGACCTACAAAAGGACTTCTATCCACAGCATATTTATCTGTCTACAGAAGATCTACTGAAGTTCTCCTAACTATAGAATTCCTACATAAGTTCATCTGCCTATAGAAATCCTATTGAAGGTTTTCTCTCTATAAATGGTCTACCTAAGATATTCGGTTCATAGAAGACCTACAGAAGATTTTATAGCCATAGAGGACCCTCTGAAGGTCTCCTATCTATAAGGAAGGTATGTCTGAGAATAACTAATATCAAATTGGTTCCCTAAAAGTTTCAAAATATCGAATATTGAGGGTGGTGTCGTTATATGGTAACCCAAAAAATACACCAATATGGATAATTTTTAGTAGGGACATTTTCCCCCATTTTCCCTTTGTTTCAACAGCGAAATGATTTCACCCGAACTGTCAAAATTTGACTTTGAATCGTGTGAAAACGTAAACAACAAATTTGACAGTTTGAGGGATTTTCTACCAAAATGACCGATAATATTCACTTCTTACACGACCTGTTTATTGGCCCATGATCAGAACAAAATTTTTTTATGCCCTACACCTTTATGTTATAAGTATAGTTCCGTTCCAGAACCTAAAAGAATCTACTAATTTTACAAGTTTTACCACTTTTTACTCAAAACCCGTTCCTGACCCACAGAACTGGTAAAACATTAAACGAAATTTAAGATAACACAAATCAAAATAGCGTTCTCTTTGTAAACTTTTTACTCGAAAATTTTGTCAGAGTAAATATGGTAAACAGGAAATGCCAACTTCTGATTGGCTGTTATGTTGATTTTGAAGTATTGCCATCTAATTTTGGCATATCTACTAGATTTGCGTTCCCGAATTTTTCAAATCGTTGTGTACTCTGAGAACGATTTTGAAATATTTCCCTTTTACTAGCTTTTGGTCTGTTTTTACACTTTTTAATAGTGAATTTTTCGTACAATGCGAACATTCGATAGGGATTGCAAATGCTTGTTCCTTCATTGTATCTTTAACATTCACGATAAATTGAAAATAATCGAATTCTCGGCGTGAGCATTCGTGAGAAAGAGCATATTTTAATAATTTTCCGCACCTTTTGCTAGCTTTACTATTAAAACTATTAAAAAAAGTACTGGAACGGACCAATCGTTATCAGGGATTTGCCTATGTTCAGTGTTAATACGGCGTGACTCGTTCGTTACGTTCATTTTGCGTACTCATTGGTGTAAAAACGGCCACTAACAACCAAAACAAAGAAACACATATTGCACCCAATTGGAAATTTACTGATTTTGCTAATTTAGAAAAAAATTGAAAAAAAGTAAGACACCGTCCATTGCAAGTTTTATGTGCATTTTTCTAAAATTTATAAAAAGAATTATTGCGGAATTATTGTTTGTAAAAAATAATTAAAAAAGGTACGATATAAAGGGACAATTGTTTTTTTAAGAATTTTTCTCGATTTTTTAGTTTTATGTTTTATTCCAACAGGGGAGGTTGTCATTGCATTCATCATCACCATATCATTTCAATGACAGCAACCCAACAATAGAATTAAATAAAGAACTAAGCAATTTCAGTCCGAATCTCGCTGTCTCCGTTCCAAAAATGTCGTCGGAAGAAATGACTGCAACAACAACAACCTTAAATGTCCTGTGTGCCATATGCAGTGAATATTTCAAAAGCAACGACATCATCTACTGCACCACCAAATGTGGTCATGTCTTTCATCACAAATGTTTGACCCGTTGGTTGTCCCAATCGACAACATGTCCACAGTGTCGTGCCGTTTGTCATCGTCATATGATACATCGTATTTATTTGAATTTTTCTGAGCCAACAGCACAGGATGATGAGCTGGATGCAGAACCCGTAAACACTTTCGATTGGTATCCCTTGGATAGTAGCATGGATCCCAAAGAAATTGCTAGTTTTTCCTATAAATTGGGCACAGATGCAGATGGTGATGCTATTTATGCGGCTCGGGTATACTTTAAAGACGATTTACTGCCAGCCTATTATGTTCCCAAGAAGAAAGGTGCCTATTGTGCCTGGGGTGGTGGTGGTCATTTTGTTGAAAATGATATTGAACTGTTGTACACCAGTGATGATAAAGCCGATTATAAATGGGTATCTGCTGAAAATGGTGCTGTACCAGAAAATGCATTCGTTTGTGGTTATACAGATCGCGGTGAATCTCTGTATTTTGGTCGGGCAAATTATGAGGGTCTAATACGTTATGGTAAAATACATCCATCGCACCGTTGCTGTTATATACCCTATGAGGAATTAGAGAAAAACAATAGATCGTATGAAGTATTAGTTCGTATTCCAGCAACAACGACAACGGAATCAAGTCCACAATAGGAGTAAGGAAAATCGAAACATTGAGAAATGTGTTTTGTAATTTATTGTCCTGTCAAGAATCTACTAATTTATACTATTTTTCATTATTATAAAGTAAAAATTGTTCTTGTGGAACAAAGATTATTTGTTTAATTGGAATGTGAAAATTTAAAATTTATTACCAAATAATTGTATTTTTGTTGAACAAAGTTATGGAATATATATAATGATGAACAATTGTCTATTTGTATGTGTGTTGTAAGAAATATGTTATGCTTTAAAATAAGCTTAAACAATTTACTTTAAAAAAAATATGCAATCTCATTTTTATGCTTGTTACTGTTAAGAACAGTTTATAATTAAAAGTCTTTACAATAAATTGTAAATTGTTTCTTTTTTATTAAAAAAAATAATATATGTCTAACTTAGTGAAGTTGTAATATTTTATTTCACAATGATCATACATATTTTGACATCATCAATAATTATATTATGATTAATATTAATATGACTAATGTGTTATTCATATTACTTTTTCCCATATTAGATATTCGATTTTGAAGCAGTAGATGGTAGGACGCATGTTAAGTTCCATATGAAAGACCATGTATTTTTGTAAAGAATCCACAGATTGCATTTATCATTATTATTATGCGTAGAATCGCTTTCTGAGTCAATTTATGTATGTCCGTCCGTGTGTTGGTGTTAAATTGTAAACAAAGTACATGTCGCATTTATGACCCGAATTGGATGAAACTTGACATAGGTCACTTATTTGGCCCAAGGACGAACCCTTTTGAAATTGGGAAAAATCGGTTAAGATTTAGATATAACTCTCATATATATTTTCGTCCGATTTAATCTAAATGGTGCACCAAAGTCCCTAAATATATTTCGATTTGCACGAAATTTGGCATGGCGTACTGAATTGAGCCTAGACTAATGTCTGCCAAGTTTCGTGAAAATCGGTTCAGATTTAAATATAGGTACCTTAAGTATTTTCGTCCGATTTCCTGCTTGCATAGACCATCTAATGGAGTATAGAATGGCGTGTGTAAAGTTTTGTTGAAATCGATTCAGATATCGTTGTACCTCCCATATATGTATATGTTCGTCCGATTTGTGTATTATGTGTGTATTAAGTTTTGTCGAAATCGCATAAGATGTCCATATATCTCCCATATAAATGTTCGGAAATTTTTTATCTAAATAGTGCACTAAATACCCAATGTTTTCCCGATTGCGATGGAATTTTGCACGGAGTTCTAAATTGAATTTAGAACTAGGTATGTATAATTTTTTGTCGAAATCGATTCAGATTTAAGTATAGCTTCCATATATTATCGATCTATTCCATGAAAATTGTGCATAGGGTCTAGAACGGCGTATATTCAGTTTTATCCAAATCAGTTCAGATTTCCATTTTAGCTATCATATATATTTTTGGACCGATTCTATGCAATTGGTGACCCAGTATCTAGATAAACTGCCAGAACCACGAATGTCCTTTCAGTATGTAAAGAACAGACTGACATATGCACATGGGTATGTCGACATAGATTTATACTCTGATCGCTTAAAATTGCCGACAAGCTTCCGGCAAAAGTGATCGATTTAAATGGCAACACTTTTTTTCGGAATTCTGCCATACCTTCGTTATAAACTGTATATATGTACATATATTCTTTTTTGGGCTTTCCGAAGAATATATTGCAGTTTTTCCAATAAAATATCTCTCACTGGAACTCATAGGAATTTATCATGAAATATCAGAATAGTATGTGATTATTTTAAGCATGTATAATTTCATCACAAATGCTTGACACGTCGATTGACCACTTCAGCGACGTGTCCCAAGTGTCGTGATCCTTGTCAAGCGATACATCGTATTTATTTGAATTATGCTGACCCTACCGATGATGAATTGAAACCCGTGAATACTTTTGAATGGCACCCCATAGATTGTAGTATGGAGCTACAAGACATCGCCAGTTGGGCCTTTAAATTAGGCATAGATGAGAATGGTGATGCTATTTATGCTGCTCGAATATGAATTTTTGATTTTTTACTACCATGCTACTATGTTCCCAAGAAGAAAGGTGTGTATTGTGGATGGGCTGGTGGTATTTTTTTTTCGGGAACATAGCATTGAGTTATTGTATACGGCAGATGATAAAGCCGAATATAAATGGGTACCAGTGGAAAACGGCGTTGTGCCAGAGAATGCATTGATTGCTGGCTGTACGACCAAGTGTTCGCTGCATTTTGGACGAGCAAATTTTGATGGACTATTACGTTATGGTAAAGTAGTTTAATTATACTGTTGCTGTTTTATACCATATAATAAAGGTGTCAAGAAAATCACTGAATTCTTTGATGTATTAGTTCGAATTCCAGCAGGAGCAAAAGCGGCAGTATCAAGTCCACAATAGAAATAATGAAAATCCCAATTTAGAAATACAGATGTATGCATGTATTTTTACACTTACTTTTTGCAATCTCCTTTCCAAATAACTACATTTTACAATTCAATCGTGTATATATATTTTTTAATAAATATAATGTAAAAATGTCACCAGAAGCGACTCTTTATTCTAAATGTATTGCGGTAGATTACAAAAAGTTTAAATTGTTTTTTAAAAGAAACCCATAGATAAACAAAAAATTATTTTTATTCAAAATATTTTTTAGAAGACAAAATTGATTTCGATTTTTAAAATAAAAACAAAGCGAATAAATACAATTATTAAAACAAATTTTGCTTAATAATAAAGAGTGAATTTATCTTAAAAAAAAACAACAAAATAATAATGAAATCACTACAAATAAATACAAAAGATCCAGTGTTGAAAATATCATCCGATACGATTTGAATATTATGTGGCTAGACGTTCTATATTAGAGATATGTTTTAAATAAACAAATATGGCTACATAGAAATTCTTAAAAAAAAAACAAATAAACACAGTTAAACATGGCTGCAATGAACATTATTTTTTTAATGTAAACAATCAGCTAGTAAAATTGATATAATAGCCAACTTCAATATCGGGCCGATACAATTAAAAGGGGCGATATCAAGAATTGTTAAAGACTCCCTTCTACTCGTTTATACAGGCTAAAAGATATCTCATCTCTTTATATAGATCAATTGGTCTATATGAGACCACAGGTCTTTATATAGACCAATTGGTCTGTATAGAGACTACAGGCCTTTATAAAGACGAATTGGTCTGTATAGAGACCACGGGTCTTTATATAGACCACAGGTCTGTATAGAGACCACAGGTCTTTATAGCGACCACAGGTCTGTATAGAGATCTTAGGGCTTTATGTAGACCACAGGTCTGTATAGAGACCTTAGGGCTTTATGTAGACCAATTGGTCTGTATAGAGACCTTAGGGCTTTATATAGACCAAGTGGTCTGTATAGAGACCTTAGGGCTTTATATAGACCAATTGGTCTGTATAGAGACCACAGGTCTTTATATAGACCACTTGGTCTGTATAGAGACCACAGGTCTTTATATAGACCACTTGGTCTGTATAGAGACCACAGGTCTTTATATAGACCACTTGGTCTGTATAGAGACCACAGGTCTTTATATAGACCACTTGGTGTGTATAGAGACCACAGGTCTTTATAAAGACCAATTGGTCTGCATAGAGACCTTAGGGCTTTAATAGACCAATTGGTCTATATAGGACCCCTGTAGGTCTATTCTGTAACTTTTAACCACATTCGATATTGTTTAATTTTCTTTTGTTATTGTAAAAACAGCAAAACAAACAAATGAAATTGTTGTGAAATAAACAATGTCGAATGTTGTTAAAAAGTTACGGAATATGCCTACTGGTCTTCTTAAAAAAACAATTGATATTTACAGACCCAACTGGCCCAATTGGTGTGATTAGAGACCATAGTCTCCATAGGATTCCATACAGACTAATTGGTCTTTATAAAGATCGGTGGTCTCGAAAACTTTCCAAATAACTTGTAACAAAGCCAGCTCATTACAGCCGTGTTAGACTGGGGGCTATACAAAAACCAATTAAAAAATACAATAAAAAACAAAACCCTATTTTGACAAATAAACAAATAACCATTTTTAATGAACCGTTTTGCTGGAATGGCGTTTTTTTTTAAAGAATACTTATAGAAGGCCTAGATGCATACACATGTACAATACAATATATAATTTTCGACAATGCTTTAGTAAGTATTTAAAAATTACACATATGTATATATTATTAATAAAATGAATCTTAACGAGAAAAAAAATCGAGACGATAAATACGTATAAAAAATATGTATATTCTTGCAGGAGCACGAATATAACTTCTTTATGCCTGTTCTTAAGTGTTGTTTTTTTAACTTACAAATCTAAGTATAATATAGTTATATATATAAAATGGTATTGTATGTTATATGTAAATATGTATATATATATATATGTATGTTTAGCTGGGTAAGTGTGTGTGTCTCCTTTATAGGTTATAGATATATATAAAAAAACTACACAATCTACTAAAACTTAATGTTAAAAAAACCGGCTGGTGCCACTTAATAATGGTCTTTCTAAAACAAAAAATGGTGCCCACAACAAAACTGATGAAAGCTTCCTCTGTTTTACATGAAACCATTTTCCTTTTTTCTTGCCAATCGCCAACTGAACGCCATAACAATCAACAGGAACATTTACTCTTTTCATCGTTGAGTGTCTGATCACCGCTCTGGTTCAGATTGAATTTTTCGCTATCGGCTAAATCGGCGGCACTAATCAATTTATCATTAAGTAAAATCTGCAAAATGTAGAGGAAAATTTCAATATTAATTATTTAATTTGAAAAAAATATATTTTTTAATTAGCTTACCTTATTAACTAATGCTCTAGCTGCCTCATCAATGTTAATGTTCTCCTTAGCTGAGGTTTCAAACCATCCAGCAAAACCATGCTCCTTAACATATTCATCCATTTTCTCGGCATTTGTTACCATACCCTGTTTATCTTGATCGCACTGGAATTTAAAAAAGGAAAGGAATTGGGTCAATAATTAAGAAAAATAAAACACGCGGATTTGAAAAAAACCCGGTCATATTATTTTTTAAAAATAATATATTTTTACAAAATCCACGCCAATAACAGTCCTTGAAAAAATATTAAAAAAAATTATACGCCGTCTACAATCTTTAAAAGTAAAAACAATCACCACTTACCTTATTGGCCAGCAATATACACGGAATCGGACTACCATCTGGCAGTTGAACTTTCGAATCTAAATCCTCTTTCCATTTACTAACACAATCGAATGTTCCACTGCGTGTTACATCGAATACGATAAAGGCACCAACGGCTTCCTTGTAATAGACTCGAGTCATATTACCGAAACGCTCCTGTCCGGCAATATCCCATAATTGTAGGCGTACAATGGTATTTGGATCCCAGTGCAAAACTTTAAGGGCAAAATCCACACCAATTGTGGCGCGATAATTTTGACTGAAAAACTGATGAACATAACGTTTGATGAACGACGTTTTGCCCGTGCCCAATTCACCGATGACTAGAATTTTGTAGAGATGCTCGCGTTTTTCGGCATTTGATGATGTCATTATAGTCTGAAAGGAGAGAAAAAAGGAAAAAATGTGTGATAAAATATTGTTCGGAGGTAGGTGAAGAAATGTTAAATATACAGATCAAGGCAATGAAAAATTTAAGTTCCTGTCGTGCTAAATTTTTTTTTTTTTTTTTTTTTTTTTTTTTATTTATTATTTTGGTTGGCCCACTTTCTATAGGGATAGAAGGTTTAGTGCCATGTATCCGTATGTAGCTTTGCTACGAATTTGACTTTATCCATAGATGGTGGTTTGTGTTTTGCAGGTTGACTTCGATCTTCTTTAAGAATTTGACCACAATGTTCAGACTTTCTAAGCCTTGTGTATCAGTGAACTCTTCTACTGTGAAGGAGTCACATAGTAGCGAAAAGCATCTTCTTTTGCTATTAAATTTACGAAAATTAAAAATTTCATGCGCAGCTGTTTGGATTTTGTTGAACGACTCGTAATTTATAGGTTATCCGTATTTAAAAACACACGTGTTAGTTAAGCGAACGCTTAACAACCGCCATTTTGTAAAAATCTATTTTTAAGCCCGTGGGCGTGTAGTACTCATTTAAAATTTTTTTTTTACGTCTTTCTTGTGAGCCGTCCGAGGACGAACTGGTCGTGCTAAATTGAAATGATCTAAATATAAAGGACTAGTTCTTAAGCTCCTTTAAGTGAATCGTTCAATCGATGTTGTTACATTCAGTATGCGGACGGCTCATAGAAAGGACGCCAGTTCGTCTTCGGACGGCTCACAAGAAAGACGCATTTAAAAAGTTAATCACGCTTACGGGCCTAAAAAAAGTACAAAATGGCGTTGTGTTAAGCTTTCGCTTAACTTGCCACGTGTTTTATTATCGAACTAACGAAAAATATAGGAAAATCTCGTATATCTAGCGCATAGTCCACTTTCTATTCTAATAGAAAGTGGGTTAGCTGGAGGAGGAACTGCATCCAGTTTTTAAAGAGATAAAAAAGAAAGGACGCAAATAACTCGGGTCAAATCAAACCTACGGTGCAGAATGTGGAAACTCGATATTGACATCACTTGTAATTTGTATTGCAAGAAAACAACTCTATTCAAATTTTAACGTAAACTCCTCAGTTCGTCTTCGGACGGCTCACAAGAAAGACGAATTTTAAAGAGTTAATCACGCCTACGGTATTAAAAAATTACAAAATGGCGCTGTGTTACGCTTTCGCTTAACTTGCCACGTGTTTTATCTCCCGAACTAAACGAAAAATAGATTATCATCGAATACAAAATTTGAACGAAAATTGTTTATAAGATGATCTCGTTTTTATACAACAGTAATCCAAAGGATTCATAGATTGTTAGACGGTGTCTACATATTGTGTATGGTCCTATACCTTCTATATTAATAGAAAGTGACTGAACCGAACCAAGATGCAAAATATGGTCACATAAAACAAATAATACTGTGAAACAGTGGTATCAAATTGTGCGGTGGTCGAGAAAAGTATGTAGATCCATAGATCCAATATAAGACAGATAACAGATTCGGTGGCTAGAGATGAAGACGAAGCACATGGAAGCACATAATGAGACAAATCTGAAGCTCAGTAAGATATTGAGTTAAGAAATATCCAAATAATGAAAATGTGCATTTAAATCACCTGTACTTGGTTCCACAAAAAATATGACCGGAAGAAGCCAAGCTGATAAATATATTAATGCATTTAAATCGGATTTACTATATGTGTCCTAAGATCTAAAAGCATCAGGAAGCTCTGACAATTTTCTGATAGCCAAATGTGACAATTTGTTGAGGAGATCGAGATGTTTTGAAAAATGTCATGTGGTTTGCTCTTCGATTTCACAGGGAAATACAATTCAATGAGGAGATATGATGGCGAAAACTGGCAGTTTATGTGATGGACACCTATTGAGGCAAATCCGAAGTGATAAATATAATATTGGGTTAAGATCTGTTCAACTATGAGTATATGGATTTATTTAAAGACAAACTATTTTTTTCAATTATTTGACCATCAAAATTAATCTTGGAGACGCAAAATAAATTTAAGCCCATTAGAACCGAAACTTATAAATAGCTTGATGATGATAGTCATATATAGAGTTGTGGCATAAGACTTGCATGTACATTAGAACTTTTTACTGGATTAACACACTTTGTTAGGCTTTATTTGACATATATATGTAATGGAATTGGAAATTTAAACCACTGGGTTAACGAACTCCCGTATACTGTAAATGTACTATAAGGCTCAGAAATCTCTGACAGTTGGTTTGAAATTCCACTTCACAGGGGTATACAATTCAAAGAGGTGGTGGATATGATGACGGGCAGGCAGTTGATGTAGGATCACCTATTGACACCAAACTGACCCCCAAGGAAGCGACGAATCAAATACAATATTGATTTAAGTTCCATCGGAGCAATGAATATATTAAAAAGACAGATATATATTTTGGAAACCTTGACAACACAAAATCAATTAAGTCCAAAAGAAACAATGCTGATAAATAGTGTTATTGCATATTACAAGTCAAGATTTAGCCAGATTTGAAGGGTTATTTTTTGCCAGATTCTTGTATTTCTTTTTTTTTTAATAATCTTTAAACACCAGGTAAAGGCGCGAAGTTTTTCTTTTAAATTTTAATCGATGGCCTATGTTTTATTTTTTTCTTTCAAAATTTCGATTGCCGATATGCTCACGTATTCAATTCAAACTAACCTCACGATTTTATAGTTCAAATCATTGATGATTTTAAAGTATCATAAACTACATATCAAAAGTGTGTAATTATTGGCTTAAGTCTAATATAAGCTTCTTAGACTGGACATAAGACAGCCACTGGTCATGGGACTATTAACTACACTTTACGATGTCTTTGGGGAGATGAAAATTTGATAAATAAGATATGCAAAAGAAAGGAAAAAATGTTAATAAGAAACCTAGACATGAGTGTGTTGTATTGGTCTTTTGTTATTCTTTGCTTGAGGGGAAAGAAAATAATTTTCACATTTCCCTGCAGCAGTCTCTCAGAAGAAGCAACAGAACCAAAAGAATGTGCATGTGTGAAAAAAAAAGAATTAAGGAAGGCGTCACGTGAAATCTATAACCTGACCAAACCCAATAGGAACAACAACAATAACAGCTGCAGCATTACATGGCGACCAAATGAACTGAGAAATCTGGAATAACTGACTGTCATTTAATATTTGTAGGGTTTCCAGACGGAATCAAATTTCATGACGATGTTATTGCCGTTGTTTTTTTTCCTTCTTCTTCATCGTCGTCACCTAATATGCCAACCACCTAGCCAGCCAGCAAATAAGAAATCAATGTTTGCCAATGATTAGCAACAGATAAATGTGATTTAAATATAAGTCTTGATATATTTATTTTTAAAAAAGTAGAAACAACAGGAAAGAAAAAGAAGGAAATGAATATTTTGATATAAGAGATTCAACTGAGTTCACCTCAAGTCACTGAACTCTTGTGGGGATGGGAAGTTTGTCAAACGACTAAATGTAACATATTTTATTTATTTCGCCTTGCGAGATGACTGAAGTTACAATTTGTTCTTTCATTGGGCGCCATTTTCTAACAATGTTTTTTTTTTCTTATATTATAAATTTGAAACGGATCAATTTTATTTCAATTCAAATTATGTTTTTTATTTACGATAATGTAAACAGCGCTAGTGTCATTTAACATTTAAGTATTTGAAATTAACGGTTACTTATGTAAATAATCTGTAAATAGTGCCATAAAATTCCATCTCTGATTCTAATACCTTTTTATACAACCAATACTAGACAAGATCCTTGCTTCTCATAAGTAGTACCTAAGCTGAATCTATTTTCAATAAAGACACTTAAGGATGATGTATATATAGTGTTGCACTATTATATTAAGATTTAAAGTAGGCTAGTACACCCAGAGCATGTTTAGTTATAGATTACTGTAAGGTTTAGCTATTTATCCTAATATGTAACCGATGTATAAATACACACTCCGAGTCCGGACTCTCCGACTCTCATTCGTTTAGCGAATACTGACAGTTTTAAATCATTAACCACGCTTGCCCAAGTTGATGTCTGAGTCCATCAATTAAGCTGAAAGCAATTCCTAAACAAGGAGTAAAAAATAATTTTGTAAATCTTGTTGTTTCGGATGAAGCCATACCAGCTCGGCTCACGAGCTGCTTTATCGACGCCCAACGTAAAGCCACCTTCGTTTAAACCCAAAGTGGAACGTGCTATATTGACGTCCAACGTTATGCCTGCTTAATTGACACCCACAGTGAAGCTTGCTTTATTGGCACCCAACCTGGAGCCTGCGTTAAATTCTAATCAATTTCATTTTTGTTTTAAAGTATTTTCGTGAACATTTTTCAGATCTTTCATAGATGGTAGACCTTGTTAATGCCATAAGGTAATAATTTCATATCACATAGTAATGCATTTCTTATCCTAGTAGCATTCCATTAAACATAAGATTAGATGAGATTACATATATACATATATTTGTAGGTCTATGCAAATATTTTAAAACATAAACAACCAAACTGAAATTCCCCATATCCATAGTTTATGGTTCTTCGGAAGATAAGAACCGAAAAAACGGTTATCACTGTGAAAATTAGTTTAGCTCAGACGAATAAGACATAAATGTTTATGTCATCTAAGTACAATTATTAGAGTTTATTTTTGAGCATCTACTCATTCATGGACATTTCTTCTATTTAAATAAATAAGTACAATTTCAGCGATAAGATATGCGATAATAACAAAGATTTTTGTTTTAAATAAATACGTCGCATCATAAGACTTTATACGAAAAAAGTGATATTAAAAAAATGAACATTAAACCTTAAGTTAATACGAAGTCTGTTGTTAAGATAATACGAGGACTGTTGCTATGACCCAACAACTATATAATGCAACTAGTTTAACCTTTGTCTGAATTTTATTTTTTGTTTGTGTCTTTATCTAGAACAATATTACAATCTTTAGTTGATCAATTTGGAAAATGAGTGTTTAGTTGGGCGCCATTTTTCAATATAGTTTTCATTGTCTTTCAAGTGAGTTACTTATACTCTTTCGAGTCGAGCTTAATGACCTAAGTTTTGCAATGAAAAGAAAAGCCAGGAGAAGAACCTACGTACATACAAAGGTCGTATGTTGATAACTTGTATTTATTTCGCCCTGATGCCAACTTTGCATATGCGAATTAAATTCAAATTTGTCAAGGTTCGATATTTTTCATCATTCTAGAAACAGTTGTTTTCAAAGCAGATATTTGTTCTGGCGATTGATAATTTATCCACAACACCTACAATTGCTTCCATGGTATACACATGTTCTTGCGCAACCTTTTAGGAAGTTTGTTGATTGCTCAGAACGTTAAGTGGTCTGACAACATTTGTGTTGCTCTAAGGTTCTAAGTTTTCATTGTCTGTACACATACAACAAATATTTGGCAAATTTTTATATTTAAATACCGAAATGTGGCAGTTTTTTACGATTGATAAGCCCAACAATTCAATCATATTTCAAATTCTCAGTAATAAAAATTACCCACCAAAATCCAGAATGCCAGATCACAGCCATTTTGGTAGGATTTTGGATTTTAAATATACCCAAAAGTATGCGTTCTCTTGTTGGGGGCCACAGAGATCCATATTACAGTTTAGACGTTCTTCCATAAAAATTCAAAAAAATTATTCAGTATTGTCATAACGCTAAACAAAAAAAGAAATAAGCCGAGTATTCTGACCGGACACCTCAGCCTGAAGGCACATCTACTCAAGATCGGATGCGAAGGTAGCAGCATGTGCAGAGCGTGTGGGGAAAGCAGTGAAACGCTGGATGGCTAATGGTATATTCAACCTAACCTAACCATTGCCACATTTAAAATGAAGGTCCCCACATAGGGCGCCATTTATAAACATTATCCAATACAAATATGAATTTTGAACATGTAACATGAATATTTTTTCAATCTAACTTGAATATTTATTGGCATTTTCATTATAGAACACTTGCACTATGATTATATATTTATATTTAAATTGAAGAGCCCTTTGTTGGGCGCCATTAGACATTCTTCAACATATTTTGTTTAAATAAAAATTAATTGCTTCATTTGCCATCGAAAAATACAGAAATTTACTACGAAAAAAATTGAAAATTATAATGAAAATTAAAGTTCCCTTGTTGGGCGCCACTTATGAAGTTTTCGATACCTTATACAGGAAACAGTATTTCTACATTTTTGACATATTTCTGGAAAAATAACATTTTCATAAAACTGAAATGTTAATTTTTTGATTGGACGGTAGCAGGGTTAATAATACGTATTTGAATTAGGGAATTTCTATCTATGGCTCCCAGCGAGCAGAAAATTCGATGAGAAAAAGTGTCCATAATCCGGAAAATACAGAAACGTAGTCGGTAAATTTGTATGGGGCTTATAGCTAAGTTTGTACTAATTTTAAACATTCTTGGTAAGGAGATTTTCGACCCCATTGAAATTACAAATAATTTGATTGGAAATATTCTAGAAAATCTTAAAATTTATTTTCATATATATGGCGCCCAACGAACGTCAGTTTAAAATTTTTTTTTGTTATATTAATTTTTCTTTCGAGTCGAGTCAAATGACCATTTTGCGACATACAATATTTGATTGAATGGCAGCTGAGTTAAAAATTGGTATTTCAATTAGGGAATTTCCAATATTCGGAATTTTCAGGTTTTTTAGATTTTAGAAAAATTTTAAAATTAAAAGTTGAAAATTTGTAATTTAGTATTTCCGGGCCCATTTCAAAAAAATATTCGATATAGGACCAATATTATGGTATATGCTCCGGGCATTTAACATTAAAGCAGAAGTTGTAGCCATCAATTCCAAAAAGCCGATTTGAAAGCTACATTGCAAAGTTCGGTCCGCCCGAACTTAACACATTTTTTAATTTTTTTTTTGTCATCCCCATTAAAAAGAAGCTTACCGGTTCCATTTCCTGATCCATTGTTAAATCTCCAAATGCGGGCATCTGCTGTTGTTGTTGTTGCAATTCACTATTCAATTTCTGAATATCGTCGTTATTATGCGAATCCAACGATAGATCACTAACACCCGAATGATAACGAAAATATTTACGTTTCAATTCGAGATTATTGAATTCGTCATAGAGTGTCGCCGGTGGTTCTAATTCACCCGATGGTGTTGTGGCCAAATAACGTATACGACGACGATGACGACTATCGTCACTGTCCGGTGTATCTTCGGAATCGTCGTCACTTTGATGTTCAATCGAATAGGGTTCCTGTGATGATGGTTCGTAGGCCAACTGTTTGGCAATAATTAGCGGGGGTCGTACACGATTGCCAAGGGTGAAGCGTACAGTGGGCTGATTGGTTGAAGTGGGTGTATCCTTGTTGGTTGGTATATCCTCCGCTGATGTTGTACTACTGGGCTGTACACTTTCCGCCACCGAGATGTGATCGTCCGTTTGATTAGCTGATAAGTTATTAACTGAAGATTTATCTTGAGAAGTTACTGGAGGCTGGTGTTGCTGCTGCGACTGTGGCTGCTGTTGCGTCGGCTGAGACGCTTGATTGGCTGGCAATGAAGCGTCTTCTGTTGCCGACAGCACTTTGGTTTCAGATTGAATTTCGTTATTTTGCGGTTGGTTTGAGTTGGGCGGTGGCGGCGATGGCGAAATGCTTGGCGGCAGTGGTGTTGTCGCCTTTGGCGGTGGCGCTGTTGCTGCTGCCGAGTCTTGATTTCCCACAATTTCTTGTGATCTAGACTCCGTAGACTCGGTTGATGTAGGTCTTGGAAATCTATGACCTCTTTGTGGATTTATCATTAAATCGCTTTCTTTATTGATGGGAGTCTGGGTGGTTGTGGTGGTGGTCTCGGTGTTGTCAGGAGTATTCGCTGTGGTCGTGGTAATGTTATCGCTTGCTTTTGTAGTTGCTGATCCTTTGCCACCTCCTGTTGGCTTGTTGCCAGCAGTAGAAGAGCTTGTTGCTTTATTGGCTTCCGATTTCTTTTTCGATTTTGCAGTTGTTACCAATTTTATGGCTGCCCTTGTGGTAGTGGCTGTTTTGCGTACTGCACCACCTCCACCTGTGTTGGTATTGCTGCTGGTACAAGCTGAGTGACTAGACGAGGGCTGTTGCGACGGCTGCGGCTGCTGCTGTTGTTGTGCTAGGCGTGAGGGTTTGGCGGGTGCCTTGTCTCGTGGTGGAATATCTTTCGGACTTTGAGTGATAACAATTTTCTCTTCCGCTTTATGGTCTTTCTTTGATTGTGCTTGTGTGGGTGGTGCTGCTGCTGGTGTGGTGGGTTTCTGTGACGTTTGAGTTTTTAATTTACCTTTGAGTTTTTTCTTTTTATCTTCCTTGGTTGATGACGACGACGGCGGGGTGGGGGCAGAGGTGATGTTCTCGTTCTTAATTTGCCGACCTAATGGTGGGGTTGTGGTAGGCGAGGATTGTGATAACGCTGTTGGTGTGGGAGATGGCGAAGATGGTGGACACCTATCTGCTGGTTCAGAATCCGCCACTTTTTCAATTTTCTTCGACTTGATAGTTATTTGTACCTTACGTTTTCCCTCGGTGGGCGATAAACGTTCTGTGGTCACCACCACCTCATTTTCGGTATCATGAAATAGAGGTTCCAAAATACGCTGCCCTGTGGCTGGAATTGTATGCTCCTCCTCCTCCCCTTCGCAATCCTTTTTAGGAGCAACCTTGGCTTTGGATTTCAAACTGAATAAAGAAGATTTTTTCTTTTTTATTTTAGTTTTGGTCACTGGCGAAGAACTTCGATCATCCGCATCACTTGAGAGAATTAAATCTGAGGCAGCAGCTGATCCTGCTGCAGTTTCCGAAGAAGATTTTCCTGCCGCTAATTTATCTTTTTTCCTTGTGGACCTTGAAAGTTTCCGTAGGGCTGTGGAAAATCGTGAACGTACCTTTTCCTTGGTTTGCCTTTCCTCGGGATCTGAGTGAATGGCTCGTGAGTTTCCCCCTAACACTGGGTGGCAACTTTCAGTTGTTGTTGCTGCTGTTCCAGCACAGGGTAGTAGTTCCAAGGATGCTGGTTGTGTTCCTGGCCAGGTTTCAAACTTTTTGTTTGTTGAATCGATATTTTCGTTACAATCAACAGTATTTTGCATAGTATCAAAAGTAGAGTCCAGGTCCAATAGGAGGGGTAGGAGGGAGTTGTAAAAAAATTACTTTTTGGAGGAGGGATCAGAGGATCAACTTGCTTTTGAGTTCTTTTTAATTTTTTTCAAATTTTCAAATTTATTTCCTCATTGATGCTGTGTGTATGTTTCACTTTATGTGCACTTGTGGGGTTTCCCGGAAAAATTCTTTGAAAATTGTTGCTTTTAATTAATTCAAAAATTTTTCATTTTAATTAGCCCCCTCTTTTTCGTTGGAGGTCAGGGCACACATTATCCTTTTTATTAATCCTTTTGCCGAGACCATTTCAAATTTCCGTTTTTCTGTTATTGTTTTTGTGTGTGTGTGTTTTTTGTTTCTTCTGGCTACTTGTCACCACTTGTCGTATTGACATCAAATCACCACCGTTTCCAACGCCCACTTAAACGAAACTGTTCTCTTCTGAGCGTTTTGTAGGCTTTTTATAAATTCGTTTTCTATACAGAGAATTGCACCGACTGCTAGATGGCTGCTGCCCTGCACTGCACTAGAAAAACAAAAACAACAAAACAGGGCCAAACCAACCGCGAACAAACAAAGTGTCTTAACGGCAGTAAGTGTAAGTGATGTGTCGTCGTCGGTGTAGTTGTTGTTGATTTTATGATTTTTGCAATTCTTTGCAATACCCATGTATGTGTGAGTGTGTGTGTTTGTCATCTCCAATCCATAGGGTTTTGGATTACACATGTTTACAGGTTTTTTTCTATTTTTTTTTTTAAATCTAAAAGGGACGGTTGGATGGACGGACGGACAAATCGTTGGGCCTGCTAACCACCACTTGCTCTAATGTTGAAAAATATTTTCGGTTTTTTGCCATTGTTTTTCCTTCCACTTTTGAGCTGGAAATTTGAGTTCTACTCAAAATTAATTGCGGTAAATATTTGGTTTTGAAAATAATGGTGCAATATTTTTTTGTCATTGTGTTAGTGGCATTGCAACATATTTCATTCATTTGGTTGGTATTGAACAACGACAATAACAATAATTTGTATTTATTGTTCCTTAACACTCCTTAAGAGGGGTGCGTATGAGTAATGGAATTCCTGCTTAGCACATGGACATTGGCGTAGAAAGACATTTCTGGATAGAAGTTTAACATTGATTTTTAGGTTCCATATTCGAAAACTCCAGTCCCTTATTTGGAGGTGTGTATGCACACACACGTATTTGTATGTATATGTGGTTTTGTTGTAATGCGAATATTTGACCCTCAATGTAAGCATTTTATTCGACGCCACTGCTTCACACTCTAAGCTTCTAATCATATTTACTAGGGCCTCTTCCTCACTAATCAATGGGTTGTATTGATGAATTACAAAATCTCCGCAAACAATTAATTCATTCAAAATGTGAGTTATGATTTCACTATTGATTTTATTAATAGATTTAGAGGAACGAACGAATTCAAATTATGACCTTGCCCTCAATGAAGTAATGCAACAAATCAACATTGAGAAAAATGTATATATTGTCAGTCAGTCAGTTCCCATATAATTGTGCAACCCTTTTTAGGTAATAAGTGGTTGGTCTTACGCATCTATCTCTAGGAGTACATTCGTATCGGATTTAAATGGGCCCCATATAAATGTCCTCCCTTATCGGAGGTATTCGCTTAGTCCCAGGTTTTGGAATTTTCGAACGGTGGGCCTAACAATTGGACCACATCAATTACCAGAAAATTTACAATAAAAATAAAGTCAAAAAATGTCCAATATCCGAAATTGATTTCGAATATAAACTATATATATTCTGATGCCTATAAACTGGCCTTGAATCGAGGGTATTCGCTTAGAATCCAACTTTTGCAATTTCCGCACAATGGTCCTAACAATTGGACCATATTTATTATTAGAAAATTTACAATTTAAATAAAGTCGAAAAATTTTCAATATCCGAAATAGGGTTTGAATATAAAATGTATATATTCTGAAAGCCCATGGACTGGCCTTTCAATTGTGGGTATTCGCTTAGTCCCAGGTTTTGGAATTTCGGAACAGTGGGCCTAACATGTGGCATATATAAATTATCAGGCCTACTGTTGAATTGTATAATTAAATAAAGTCAAAAAAAAAATCAATATCCGAAATTGATTTCGAATATAAACTATATATATTCTGAAAGCCCATGGACTGACCTTTCAATCGTGGGTATTCGCTTAGTCCCAGCTTTGGCAATGTCGGCATAGTGGGCCTAACATGTGGTATATATAAATTACCAGACCTACTGTAAAATTGTACAATTTAAAAAAGTCGAAAATTTGTCAATATCCGAAATTGATTTCGAGTATAAACTGTATATATTCTGAAAGCCAATGGACTGACCTTTCAATCGTGGGGATTCGCTTAGTCCCAGGTTTTAGAATTTTCGAACAGTAGGCCTAACAATTGGACCATATCAATCACAAAACTATTTACAATTGAAATAAAGTCGAAACATTTTCAATATCCGAAATTGATTTCGAGTATAAACTATATAAATTCTGAAAGCCCATGGACTGACCTTTTAATCGTAGGGATTCGCTTAGTCCCAAGTTTTGGAATTTTCGAACAGTAGGCCTAACAATTGGAGCATATCAATTACCAAACTATTTACGTTAGAAATAAAGTCCGAAATTGATTTCGAATATAAACTATACATATATATTCTAAAAGCCCATGGACTGACCTTTCAATCGGGGTTATTCGTTTAGTCTTAGGTTTTGTAATTTCGGAACAGAGGGCCCAACCATATTTATTACCAGAAAATTTACAATAAAAATAAAATGAAAAAAGTTGCAATATACGCAATTGATTTGGGATACAAACTGTATATATACTGAAAGCCCATGGACTGACCTTTCAATCGTGGGTATTCGCTTAGTCCCAGGTTTTGGAATAATAACGTGCTTGGTTTATTAAGACCGCAAATATTAAAAAAAAAAACAACTATACCAAAGGGTGGCATAGGACCAATATTTCATGCCGTTATAAACTCTTGATCCACCTCTTCAAAGCGAATAATCTTAAATAAGGGCTAAACAAATTATTGGAACATATTATCCAAGCAACGTTCTCTACAATTATGGCAAAAGAAAGTTTAAAGGTCAGCAATGACGTTTTGATTTCTTCGCCTTAATAACTTTAAACGAAATTACTTCTAATTTTCGTAAAGTCACGACATGTATTTCCTTTTTCATTTTCTTATAACTGAAATAAAAAGGAAAACAACAATCATGACCTCATAACCTTCAAACGCAATGCCGCAGATTGGCACCCGCATACAACTGCACATTTCGGGTTTGCAAGGATAAAAGAAAAATATAGTATGTATCTGCTATGAATTCTAGTTCATGAAGGAATTTCAGATTATGATAGAAGAACTAAGTTGTCATATTTTCAATTTAATTTCCACTGACCTCATATTTCTAGATGTTCGCCTTCGATGCCATTTTTTTCGTGTGCGTACTATATGAATTCTCAAAAGTATGCATCACTGATATGCAGATATTTGATGTTTTTTTTTATTTTCTGATAAAGCAAATAGACCAAATCGTCAGTAGCATCGGCGGTATCAATCGCCTATCGAACGACTAATACACATTTTGAGAGATATTGATATTGAATGTGATAACCTCCGTTTTCAAGATGTTAACGAAGCGTTTGTAGCTGACGGATATGCATATATAGTGGTTAACCATCAATTAGTTACTTAGATTACATGAATTGGTTATAATATTATGACATCTATACGTAAATCGTAATGTATGTATATGTGTGACATATGACGAAATAAACTAAACACTTTCAATAACATTGTCAATTGTTAACGGCATTTCGATATCAATATATTATTGAAAATATGAATTACAGGAAGTAGAAAAAATAGAAATATGGATACAACCTCCATTCATGATTTCAAATATCGACAATGGCCTTATAAAGACCAATTGGTCTGTATAGAGACCACAGGTCTTTATAAAGACCAATTGGTCTGTATAGAGACCACAGGTCTTTATAAAGATCAATTGGTCTGTATAGAGACCCAGGGTCTTTATAAAGACACATTGGTCTGTATACAGACCAAAGGTCTTTGTAAATACCAATTGATCTATATAGAGACCAAAGGTCTATATAAAGACCAATTGGTCTGTATAGAGACCAAAGGTCTTTATAAAGACCAATTGGTCTGTATAGAGACCAAAGGTCTTTATAAAGACCAATTGGTCTGTATAGAGACCATATGTCTTTATAAAGACCAATTGGTCTGTATAGAGACCAAACGTCTTTATAAAGACCAATTGGTCTGTATAGAGACCAAAGGTCATTATAAAGACCAATTGGTCTGTATTGAGACCACAGGTCTTTATAAAGACCAATTTTTCTGTATAGACACCACAGGTCTTTATAAAGACCAATTGGTCTATATAGAGATCAAAGGTCTGTACAGAGTCCAAAGGACTTTATAAAGATCAATTGGTCTGTATAGAGACCACCGGTCTTTATAGATACCATTGATCCTTTTTTTGGACCAGAAGAACCATTAATTTTTAAATAATAAAAAAAAAACATTTTAAATTATTTCTTCTCTTGCTCCGGACCGTCTGTTGACTTCAGCAAAATATGTTCTGATTTTTTTACGATAAATAAAAAAATCAGTAGTGTTTGGCGGGTTATTTGGGATACCATTTGTATTTTGTTTTTGCAAAATAGTCAGGCTTAATCCCAGTTTGTTGTTTTTATAAAAAAAAACAACTATTTATTAGTGGGGAATGTATGGCATTGTCCGCCGAGAGGTAAGGCAGGGAAGACTATAGTTTCGGATCTCGCCACTGATCCTCATCAGTTCCCTTAGTTTTTTGTTGGGATATTCTCCCCAGAAGCTATTAATAGCTTCTTTACAAAAAACCTTTCAAACCCAAATGTCTCTTGTGACAGTTCGAAGTTCTTACGTTACCAGCGATACGACCCCAATGAGAAGTTCGTTTCGTTGGCGCCTGACTTCGTGGTCAACATGGCATTTACAGACAACTACAATACATTTCCCACTGCTATGTGTCGTCACTTTGTGACGAATGCACATAACGTTGTTGTTGGTATTGCTAGTTAAAGCAATAAACCAAACAGTATGACCGTGCCTCGTCTACATCTTCAGTAGTGTTTGGCGGGTTATTTGGGATACCATTTGTATTTTGTTTTTGCAAAATAGTCAGGCTTAATCCCAGTTTGTTGTTTTTATAAAAAAAAAACAACTATTTATTAGTGGGGAATGTATGGCATTGTCCGCCGAGGGGTAAGGCAGGGAAGACTATAGTTTCGGATCTCGCCACTGATGCTCATCAGTTCCCTTAGTTTTTTGTTGGGATATTCTCCCCAGAAGCTATTAATAGCTTCTTTACAAAAAACCTTTCAAACCCAAATGTCTCTTGTGACAGTTCGAAGTTCTTACGTTACCAGCGATACGACGTACCAGCGATACGCTGGTAACGTAAGAACTTCGAACTGTCACAAGAGACATTTGGGTTTGAAAGGTTTTTTGTAAAGAAGCTATTAATAGCTTCTGGGGAGAATATCCCAACAAAAAACTAAGGGAACTGATGAGGATCAGTGGCGAGATCCGAAACTATAGTCTTCCCTGCCTTACCCCTCGGCGGACAATGCCATACATTCCCCACTAATAAATAGTTGTTTTTTTTTATAAAAACAACAAACTGGGATTAAGCCTGACTATTTTGCAAAAACAAAATACAAATGGTATCCCAAATAACCCGCCAAACACTACTGAAGATGTAGACGAGGCACGGTCATACTGTTTGGTTTATTGCTTTAACTAGCAATACCAACAACAACGTTATGTGCATTCGTCACAAAGTGACGACACATAGCAGTGTAGTTGTCTGTAAATGCCTTGTTGACCACGAAGTCAGGCGCCAACGAAACGAACTTCTCATTGGGGTCGTATCGCTGGTAACGTAAGAACTTCGAACTGTCACAAGAGACATTTGGGTTTGAAAGGTTTTTTGTAAAGAAGCTATTAATAGCTTCTGGGGAGAATATCCCAACAAAAAACTAAGGGAACTGATGAGGATCAGTTGCGAGATCCGAAACTATAGTCTTCCCTGCCTTACCCCTCGGCGGACAATGCCATACATTCCCCACTAATAAATAGTTGTTTTTTTTTTTATAAAAACAACAAACTGGGATTAAGCCTGACTATTTTGCAAAAACATAAATAAAAAAATATACACACATTACCGAATCGACCTAAATATGTATACAAATGAAAGTGAGTGTTGCATGCTTTCATGGTAAACCATTAATCCTTTTGGTAAAGAACGAACACACACATCACTGTACAAAGTAATATGTAAATAGTATGTAATAAAAACCATGGGCGTAGATGTTGACTTTTTCATGGAGGGGAACATGTAATTTAATGAAGGTAATATTTTATTGTTCATGTGATACATGGCATCGTTATTTTTGATTTATAAAATTAAATAAATTAAACCCCTCCAAGAGCTACGTCCATGACTGACACACAAGACATAAAAGCTCTTCATACCTGTGCTACCATTTGGGTTATAAATCTTTTCGATTTACTTTAACCTAAATCTGTTATGTTTACCAAGCAGGCAACAAAGTATCCGACTTCAGGTGGTAGCACAAAACAAAAGAAACATGGAGGGGAAGAGGAAGAAAAATCAGTACTCTATGCATTTCCCGAAAGTGTCCTGAAAAGGATTTGTAAGGAAAAAAAATTATAATTTATTAAAAGAAGCAAATGCGAAATAATGTGACAAAAACCAAACTTTCTTTGACTTTAACCCATTTTTGAGATTAATTAAAATTAAAAAAAATGTTTGGTAAATTTACATTACAATATGTAAGTTGAAGTAAATAAATTTCGAAAAAAAATTTAGCACATCAAAGTAATAACAATAACAACAAATTATTTATTCCCAACTCGTAGTGTTGTCAGGGCAAAACCTTGTCATATAGGGGTATATTAGACGGGGTTAAACAAGTGCAACAAAAAATATTCTTTAAAAAATCCATATTCTTTAAACCAGAAAGGAAAGTAGTAAAGTCGGACGGGGCAGACTATATGATACCCTTTACCACTTTGGGTATATTCAACTGATTAATTCTATCAGACGGATTCATATTGGATCCATAAACATGCCATTCTGCAACCTAAACTAAATTTTTCATTTGGCCATATAGTGTTGCTTCATATAATGAAACAAATTTATGTAAATATATTTATAGCAAATATCAATCCGACACCCGTTGATTATTCGGATAAATATCTCATAAGCATGAGGGGTTTGGTGGGATGGGAGCTATATATATATATCTGAACCGATTTTCAGGAAACTTCACACATATCATTCTAGATTTTATCAATACGCTATTATACCCTGTAAGGGTATAAAAATCCACGCCTCTGATAAGCCTTGAAAAACCCTTCTTTAATAAATTTAATTTAATTACATATATTTTATTTTTCCCCATCGGTGGACCCTCTCTATTGTACCTACATGTACGACGCTCGAATATAAACTACTTATTTTAAATTATAAACTTGGATTTGTGTTTATATGTACATATGTATGCATGCACGCGGCAAATATTCAATTCGGCTTTTTAATACGACAAATAAGGTAAAAAGAGAGCAAAATTTCTCGAATTGAAAATTAAACAGTTTCCCATATTGGGTATAAACGACTATTAGGCACGAAGCTCAAGGTGTGCTGTGTATATATGTAAGTTCTCAAATAAATTAATTTTCAGATGAGATGCTTTGTTTTTTTTTTATTTCAAATTAACAGCAATTAAAATGAGAGCTATACTGTATTTTTTTATTCCAATGCACAGTGTCTCAAAATGAAAAAAAAATATTAAGGGATATAAAAACTTTTTTGAAAAATTATTTTTTAAATAATCCACGCCTATGGTGGGACCGTGAACAACTATTTTATAAAAAAATCCTCGTCTGTGGTGGGACCTTGAAAAAATATTTTTTTTTAAATCCACGCCTATGTTGGGACCATTATTTTTTTTTTTAAATCCTCGTCTGTTGTGGGACCATGAATACATATTTAAAAAAAATCCACGCCTGTGGTGGGACCATGAAAAAATATTTTTTTAATCCTCGTCTGTTGTGGGACCATGAATACATATTTAAAAAAAATCCACGCCTGTGGTGGGACCATGAAAAAATATTTTTTTTTTAAATCCACGCCTATGGTGGGACCATTAATTTTTTTTAAATCCTCGTCTGTTGTGGGACCATGAATACATATTTTTTAAAAAATCCACGCCTGTGGTGGGACCTTGAAAAAAATATTTTTTTAATCCACGCCTTGGTGGGACCATTAATTTATTTTTATTTTCAATCAAAAAAATGTTGTAAAAATTTTAAAAAAGAAAATAAATATGTTTACAAAAATAATAAGCCTAGATAATAAGACTTGAAAAAATTTGTATTTCAAAAACACAAGTAACAACTATTTCGACACACTGTATTCAAAATAAAATTATCAATTAGAACAGCTGTTAGCGTGTTAAGCTTAACAAACAATTTAGAACATATGTTGATTAACAACTCACGTATTTTTTGATTCAAAAAAACAAAAACGTATTCTTAAAAAAAAAAAATACAAAAAAGTCTTACAACTTACCCAATGTTTCGGTACACCATTACGATTGATATCGGTTACATTTCCTCCATTCGCCGCTGTTGCCGGTGATGTTATCGCTGAACCACCATTCATTGACGACCTTTTCCCGCCGCCATTCATACTCGGTGATGGCAAAGCTTCCGTTGCCGTATAATCGATATTCTCTTTGTAGGCTTTCAGCGATCGCGGTGATATCAAATCGTTGGCATTCAGCAGATATTCCGAGTAGAAAGGTTCCTGGGTTCTAAGCGATATACCACCAGCCAATGGTCCAAATAGAGGTGAACGTTTCTCGGTTAAAACGCCCAAGGCACGAGTGTTGTTGGTGTACTCACGAGGTGGGGTAAAATAATTGCCTACCTCTTCGGTGGTATGGGTTACGTTGGAACAGCTGTCGTCAGTAGAACTGGTGCTACTGCTGCTCGCGCTGCTGCTGGTGGTATAATCTAATGGCGTTGAGGACGAAATATTGGATCCGGAAAATGATCGAACACTAACGAATTTAAAATCCTCCTTCGGACACTTGCTGCAATCGCACACGGTTGTCGAATATGAGGCGCAAAAGTCTAAAGTTTTGTCGGTTATCGCGGACAAATAACGTTCACGTACGTAGCGGGAGCTAGGCGGCAACAATAACTGATATGGGGGTGAATCAGTTGTTGACTGAAGAGAGGTGTTGCTGCTGTTGTTGGTGAGACACTCGGAGCAGAGTAAATTTGCCAAGATACGATTGCGATGTCGGGGACGACGGTGACAATGAGTGTTCGGAGTATGCCTGGGAGAGGCAGAAGAAGAGGTTCGCTTAGTTGGGACTTCGTTCTCAATGTTGTTGGCTGTGGCCGGAGAGTCGGTGTCACGTATTATTGCTGCACCAGTCGTCGTAGATGCCATACACAAATGGGGCGAACAAAAGTGGGTGGTGAAATGTTGTTGTTAAACTATTTTGTTTTTTTATGGGTGTCGTTGTTGGTTTTGTTGTTGCAATAGCACGTGGTGTATGATGATATGCATATTATTGTTGTTGTTATTTATTTTCGTTTTCTTTTTTTTCAATTTTGCTCTCTACGACGTTTTTTTTTTGTTATCGTTTTTATAGTTATTTTGTTGTTGTTTTCTTTGCTATTATCTTTGTTTTATTTACGCATTTTCGTAGTACTCTTCTCTCAAACATTTCTAGATTGTCAATAGTTTCGTTTTCATTAAATCAGGGTACCCTACTTTGGTATCATTGGTGAAGAGGTTATAGGTTATGCTTGTGATCGGAAAAATATCCACGCCTTAGGTGGGACTTTGGAAAAACATTTTTAAACCAGTGAGCGGAGCAGTCCAGTCGCACGGGGCCCTACGCAACTACAACGGAACTCTAACTTTCTGCGGATGTTTATTCCGAGCCTGGACAATATTTCGCGATATTTACACACGTTTGCCCGATTAAAGCCCAGATTCCCTTCACCGTGGGGTGTGCTGTGATATTCGGCTTTGACTTGTGGCCTATAGATCGACTCAAAAAAAAAAAAAAAAAAAACACACACACACAAAAAGTTTTCGGTCCACTTCATTCCAAAATTAATTCTCTGATCATCACCGAAAATTATAGGCATTGTCCTTGACCACAACTGGAATCTCATGGAAATTTTCAAAGCGATCAGAGCTATATTTCCTCTCTCTAGTGTGGAATGAGTACATACGACCATATAATTGGTATCAATATAAAGGCCAACCACTCCTCTTGGATATACTATCAACTTCTCGGGTCAATGTCCTTCAGGGGCAAATATAAACGCCATAGAATACAAAGGGACCCGCTAAATATTGATCAATCTTTATCAAAACAAGCATGCTTCTTCGTTAGCTCGATCCCGTTCCCGTTTCGCGATGATTGGTCAATAATTGCGGCCTCTGGAGCGACCAGAAAAACGGACAATAATTAAGTATTAAAAATTTCGTGAAGATTGGTCCATAACTGTGGAATGTATCGTGTTTACAAATTATAATGGACAGACGGACGGACACACGTGTCTGGATCGACTCAGCTAGTGGAGATATGACGATCGGTATACTTAAAGGGGGGTCTAGGACCAATATTTCGCGGCGTTATAAACTTTTGGGGCTACACAAAGCTATAATACCCTGACAACATAGTTGTGTAGGGTATAAAAACCATCGCCTTATCCACGCCTTAGTTGGGACTTTGGAGAAATATATTTTTAAAGATGCACGCCTAATGTAGGACTGCGGAAAATATTTTTTCCACGCCTATGGAGAGGTGTGAAAATCTATTTATAAAAGATCCACGCCTATGGTGGGTCATGAAAAAATGTGTTTCCCATCGAAGAGCTATCCAAAAAGTCGTTCATGCCCAACAATAGTGTATTTATATGAACCATAATTTCCCAATAGAGAAACCTCTGTTAAAATTTTTCGCAGAGATCTCACGAACCCACATACTGGCGGGAGTAAAAACAATAAATCAAAAGCATGCCAAACAACAAAAAACATTATTATCAATAGTAGTTTCTGTCAAGGTCAGAGAGTCGTGGTGCTGTTATCTAAAATATTCCAAAGATTGGTGGTGCGGCGGCGGAAAACAAAATTAACAATGCTTTGTTGTTTATCGATAAAACTTTGGCAACGAAATTCAGCTGCTACGCTGGAATGGGGAGAAGGTTAGAAAATAATTGCTAAAATTCGATGGGAGCTTAGTTAAAGAAATGAGAGCTATTTGCGTTTACCTACCTACAAGCTATTGTGTTAATTATAGGTATTTCCCTAAGTTTTCGAGGGAGGTTTCTAGAATGAGTCATAGTGACTATACTACTACCAATTTGGTCGCCAATATTGAAGTGAAGAAATTGCATATCTTACGAATCATTGACACGAAAGAAATTTTATTTTTATTTTTTTTTTTGCGTTGGTCTCAACTATTTTGTTGTTGTTGTTGTTTCGAATATATCCGTTGATAAATTTGCAACATTTATGTTTATAGTTGTCGGTCGGCGGCATTTGTAGACATAATAGCCCCACTTGGGATTTATCTTCAATGCTGAGTCTCGTGGTTTTTCTGTCATATGACTAAGGACATTCACTGACTGCTTCATGTATTGTCAACAAAGGCAAAGCGAACAAAGATGTGTAAAAAAAAATAATATTGCTATGATATAAGCACATATCCGTAATGTTTATTAAATTCCCTACATTAATTCTTAAACAGTAAAATACACGCCTATGGAGGGACCATGAAAAAATATTTTTAAAAAATTCACACCACGATAACTTTGAAGTCAGTGTTATTATTATTATTTTTCATTAACAATTAAATTCATTAAATTTTATCGTATATATTTTTTTCTTTGTAGCGATTTAAACTAGATTAACAGCATTTTCTTTTCTAAAAGCTATAATTGTTTGTTGGTATCATTAAATTTTAACACTGACACACTGTTTAAAGTATCATCATCGTAATTTGGTGGCAGGGTCATGCCACTGTTTATTTTTGCTAATTAATTCTTGAGCGGAAATTATCTAGATAACATTGTAGGTATAGAAATGTTTTCTATTTTGTTACATTCTCGCAGAAATCTTATCATTGTTGTTTCCTTGACAGTAGAGCAAAAAATATTAAGAAAATCCACGCCTATGTTGCGGGATGAAAACATATATTTGAAAAATAAAATATATAAAACAATTTACCTTAGATGAACATCTGAGATCTTGTGATGACTTTCCTCAAGAAAAAAATATATCTCCGCAGAACCTCTAAGTTCTCTATAAAAAATGTTATCTCAGATGAAATTTTAAGGTTTCTAAACTTTTTGACTATAGAAAAAAACTGACCGCAGATGAAGATCTAAGATCTCTCGAATTTTGTTCTATTGAAAAAAAAATTGTCTCAGATCAATAATCCGCCTACAGGTCGATAATAGGACTATAATCGTATAGGTCCAGATGAACATCTGAGATCTTGCGATGATTTTCCTCAAGAAAAAAATATATCTCCGCAGAACCTATTAGTTCCCTATAAAAATGTTATCTCAGACGAAATTCTAAGGTTTCTAAACTTTTTGGCAATAGAAAAAAACTGACCCCAGATGATGATCTAAGATCTCTCGAATTTTGTTCTATTGAAGAAAATTGTCTCAGCTGACCATCTGATCAATAATCCGCCTACAGGTCGATAATAGGACTATAATCGTATAGGTCCATGGTCTGATATAGCCCCCTTGTCACAGGTGCAAAGGTAATTGGGAAAATATATGGCAAAGTTTGGGCGTACCGATCATTAGAAGTTCAAGCCCCATTATAGGTCCTCTCATTTTCCAACAGAAGTAGCTGGGGGCATGTGGGGGTTCGTGTTTTCAAATGATAAATTATTGGACTTTTTAAAAAATCTCCAAGATCTTCAAGAAAGAAACAAAATTGTGACCAGCAGAATCGTTATTTCGCGGAAAGTGACTGCAAGCGGGTCTTTTGTCATATGTTTGTAACAGGCAAAAGGAAACGAGATAGACACATGGTTCCTTTTGAGAATATGCATAAAATCACTTTTTAAGTCGATTTGTGCATGTCCGACCGTCCGTCTGTCTGTCCATGTTAAATTGTAAACAAAGTACAGGTCGCATTTATGATCCGAATTGGATGAAATTTGGCACAGGTCACTTATTTGGCTCTAGGACGAACCCTATTGAAATTGGGAAAAATCGGTTCAGATTTAGATATAGCCCCCATATATATCTTCGTCCGATTTAATGTAAACGGTCCCTATATATCATTCGATTTGCACGAAATTTGGTACAGCGTAATGAATTAGGTCTACAATGATGTGTGTAAAGTTTCATGAAAATCTGTTGAAATTTGGATATAGCTCCCATATATATTTTCGTCCGATTTAAGGTAAATAGTGCACCAATGCCCCTATATATCCTTCGATTTGCACGAAATTTGGCATAACATACTGAATTAGGTCTAGAATAATGTGGGTAAAATTTCGTGAAAATCGGTTCAGATTTAGATATAGCTACCATATATATTTTCGTCCAATTTTATGTAAATGGTGCACCAAAGTCTCTAAATATCCTTCGATTTGCACGAAATTTGGCATAACGTATTGAATATAGTCTAGAATGATGTGTGTTAAGTTTCGTAAAAATCGGTTCAGGTTTAGAATATCTCCCATATATATTTTCGTCCGATTTTAGGTAAATAGTGCACCAATGTCCCTATATATACTTCGATTTGCACGAAATGTGGCACAGCGTACTGAATTAAGTCTAGAACGATGTGTGTTAAGTTTCGTAAAAATCGGTTCAGGTTTAGAATAGCTCTCATATATATTTTCGTCCGATTTTAGGTAAATAGTGCACCAATGTCCTTATATATCCTTCGATTTGCACGAAATTTGGCACAGCGTACTGAATTAAGTCTAGCACGATGTGTGTTAAATTGGGCGAATGCACAAAACATACTGAAATAAGTGTTACTTAACATGTGACAAGTTTCGATGAAATCGGATTAGATTTCGATATTTTCTAATTTTGTCCCATTGTAAGAAGCAATTCTATATCTGAACTAAATTTTGTATAGTTTGCAGAATGACATGTTCAATTTCATGTTAATGGTCCTTCAAAATTCGACGTCTGTTAGGATTCCATCTGTTGAATATACCGAATGTGATGAAGGGTATCATTTTCATTTGGACCATTTTTTAAATTTCCACAGAGGTTTCAAGCATATTTTCTATAGAATCTTCTGTCTATAGAACAAATTGCGAAGCGGTGTATCGGGTTATATTTATAAGAAACATATGGAAGACCTTTAGAAACTCCTCTGACGGTTTCATAGACCAAAATTTGACCTTTCCCCTGTAGGTCATTCTGGCCAATTATAAAGTCACG